TGGATTTGCAGTTCCACATGGCTGGGGAGGCCTCAGAATCCTGGCAAAAGGTGAAAACCAATTCCTCATGGCAGTGGCAAGAGAAAATGAGGAAGATAAAAAAGCAGAAACACCTGATAAAACCATCAGATCTCATGAGACTTATTCACTACCATGAGAATAGTATGGGGGAAACTGGCTCCATGATTCAAATGATCTCCTACTGAGTCCCGCCCATAACACATAGGAATTATTGGAATACAATTCAAGATGAAATTTGGGTGGGGATGCAGAGCCAAACCATGTTAGTGCATATGTTTAAAGGGACATAAAAAAACTATACAAATGTAATAAGAATATATGCATATTGTTATGAAATGAAAACATTCGAAATTATAAAAGTAGTAAATATTTTTTAGTAAAATTAAATATATGCACAAAAGGTGAAAACTGTTTTCCTTTCATTCCCAGAGAAAAATTTACTTAAATTTTACATAGTTTTTTCCTGAGTTCTTCCTATACCTGAAAAACACACTGGGTTATTTTTGTATACAAAAGAAATTGTGTTATACATATTTCCTTTCACTCTTTTTCTTTTCACTTAATTCTTTCAGATAATTGTTACCATTTGAATGGCCTCGGATGATTCCTTTATATGAATGAACCATAATAGTTAACCAGTTTACTAATGACAGACATTTATATTGCTCCTAAGATGTTACTGTTGTTCATTTATTTAATTGTTTCTTTAGTTTTAATTTCTAGACAAGTTGCTCTATCAAAAATAATGTACACTTAATATTGCAATAGTTATAAGAAAATCTGTCCTTTTTTCCAGCAATCTATGAGTGTCTACTTTCAAAAACTTACTTTAAACTCTTAGCATCATATTGTCTTCTAAATCTTTGCCAGAAATTAATGTAAATGAATATGCAATTTTAATTGTCATTTATTTGATTATTAGTAAGATTTAGATTTCATTCTGTTTACTAGTCATTTTAGGGAAATGAGCATTCTCTGCCTATAAGCTTTGCCTAGTTTTATATTGATATGTTCATCTTTTTCTTATTTCCTCATTTGTAATATCATTTTAAAGTGCTTTTAAAATAGACAATTTTTTTCACATTTGTTAAGACTCCTGTTGTGATTTTTTTTTTGTCTTCCAAATTCTTTTTTTTTTTTAATTATATTGCATTTTAGGTTTTGGGGTACATGTGCAGAACATGCAAGACAGTTGTATAGGTACACACAGGGCAGTGTGTTTTGCTTCCTTTCTCCCCTTCACCCACATTTGGCATTTCTCCCCAGGCTATCCCTCCCCAGCTCCCCTCCCGCAGGCCCTCCCCTTTTCCCCTCAATAGACCCCAGTGTTTAGTACTCCCCTCCCTGTGTCCATGGCTTCTCATTTTTCATCACCCACCTATGAGTGAGAATATGTGGTATTTCATTTTCTCTTCTTGTGTCAGTTTGCTGAGAATGATGTTCTCCAGATTCATCCATGTCCCTACAAACAACACGAACTCATCATTTCTGATTGCTGCATAATATTCCATGGTGTATATGTGACACATTTTCCCAATCCAGTCTATCATCAATGGGCATTTGGGTTGGTTCCAGGTCTTTGCTATTGTAAACAGTGCTGCAATGAACATTCGTGTGCATGTTGTCCTTATAGTAGAACGATTTATAGTCCTTTGGATATATACCCAGTAATGGGATTGCTGGGTCAAATGGAATTTCTATTTCTAAGGCCTTGAGGAATCGCCACACTGTCTTCCACAATGGTTAAACTAATTTACACTCCCACTAACAGTGTAAAAGTGTTCCTTTTTCTCCACATCCTCTCCAGCATCTGTTGTCTCCAGATTTTTTAATGATCACCATTCTAACCAGCGTGAGATGGTATCTCAATGTGGTTTTGATTTGCGTCTCTCTGATGACCAGTGATGATGAGCATTTTTTCATATGATTGCTGGCCTCATATATGTCTTCTTTCATAAAGTGTCTGTTCATATCCTTTGCCCAATTTTGAATGGGCTTTTTTCCTGTAAATCTGTTTGAGTTCTTCGTAAATTCTGGATATCAGCCCTTTGTCAGATGGGTAAACTGCAAAAATTTTTTCCCATTCTGTTGGTTGCCGATTCACTCTAGTGACTGTTTCTTTTGCCGTGCAGAAGCTTTGGAGTTTCATTAGGTCCCATTTGTCTATTTTGGCTTTTGTTGCCAATGCTTTTGGTGTTGTGTTCATGAAGTCCTTGCCTACTCCTATGTCCTGGATAGTTTTGCCTAGATTTCCTTCCAGGGTTTTTATGGTGCCAGGTCTTATGTTTAAGTCTTTAATCCATCTGGAGTTAATTTTAGTGTAAGGTGTCAGGAAGGGGTCCAGTTTCTGCTTTCTGCACATGGTTAGCCAGTTTTCCCAACACCATTTATTAAACAGGGAATCTTTTCCCCATTGCTTGTTTTTATCAGGTTTATCAAAGATTGTATGGTTGTAGATATGTTGTGTTGCCTCCGATGCCTCTGTTTTGTTCCATTGGTCTATATTTCTGTTTTGGTACCAGTACCATGCTGTTTTGATTACTGTAGCCTTCTAGTATAGTTTGAAATCCGGTAGTGTGATGCCCCCCTGCTGTGTTCTTTTTGCTTAGAATTGACTTGGCTATGTGGGCTCTGTTTTGGTTCCCTATGAAGTTCATGGTGGTTTTTTCCAGTTCTGTGAAGAAAGTCAATGGTAGCTTGATGGGGATAGCGTTGATTCTGTAAATTACTTTGGGCAGTATGGCCATTTTAACGATATTAATTCTTCCTAACCATGAACATGGAATGTTTCTCCATCTGTTTGTGTCCTCTCTTATTTCGTTGAGCAGTGGTTTGTAGTTTTCCTTGAAGAGGTCCTTTATGTTCCTTGTGACTTGTATTCCTAGGTATTTTATTCATTTTGTAGCAATTGGGAATGGCAGTTCGTTCTTGATTTGGCTTTCTTTAAGTCTGTTATTGGTGTAGAGGAATGCTTGTGATTTTTGCACATTGATTTTATATCCTGAGACTTTGCTGAAGTTGCTTATCAGTTTCAGGAGTTTTTGGGCTGAGGCGATGGGGTCTTCTAGGTATACTATCATGTCTGCAAATAGAGACCATTTGGCTTCCACCTTTCCTATTTGAATGTTCTTTATTTCTTTTTCTTGCCTGATTGTTCTGGCTAGAACTTCCAGTACTATATTGAATAGGAGTGTTGAAAAAGGGCATCCTAGTCTAGTGCCAGATTTCAAAAAGAATGCTTCCAGTTTTTGCCCATTCAGTATGATATTGGCTGTTAATTTGTCATAAATAGCTTTTATTACTTTGAGATACGCTCCATCGATACTGAGTTTATTGAGGGTTTTTAGCATAAAGGGCTGCTGAATTTTGTTGAATGCCTTCTCTGCGTCAATTGAGATCATCATGTGGTTTTTGTTTTTGGTTCTGTTTATGTGGTGAATTACATTTATAGACTTGCGTATGTTGAACCAGTATTGCATCCCCGGGATGAATCCTACTTGATCATGATGGATAAGTTTTTTGATTTGCTGTTGCAATCGGCTTGCCAATATTTTATTGAAGATTTTTGCATCTATGTTTATCATGGATATTGGCCTGAAGTTTTCTTTTCTTGTTGGGTCTCTGCCGGGTTTTGGTATCAGGATGATGTTGGTCTCATAAAATGATTTGGGAAGGATTCCCTCTTTTTGGATTATTTGGAATAGTTTCAGAAGGAATGGTACCAGCTCCTCTTTGTGTGTCTGGTAGAATTCAACTGTGAACCCATCTGGACCTGGGCTTTTTTTGTGTGGTAGGCTCTTAATTGCTGCCTCGACTTCTGACCTTGTTATTGGTCTATTCATAGTTTCAGCTTCTTCCTGGTTTAGGCTTGGGAGGACAAAGGAGTCCAGGAGTTTATCCATTTCTTCCAGCTTTGCTAGTTTATGTGCATAGAGTTGTTTGTAATATTCTCTGATGATGGTTAGAATTTCTGTGGAGTCTGTGGTGATTTCCCCTTTATCATTTTTTATTGCATCTATTTGGTTGTTCTCTCTTTTCTTTTTTATCAGTCTGGCTAGTGGTTTGTCTATTTTGTTGATCTTTTCAAAAAACCAGCTCTTGGATTTATTGATTTTTTGAAGGGTTTTTCGTGTCTCTATCTCCTTCAGTTTAGCTCTGATCTTAGTTATTTCTTGTCTTCTGCTAGGTTTTGAGTTTTTTTTATCTTGCTCCTCTAGCTCTTTCAATTTTGACGATAGGGTGTCAATTTTGGATCTCTCCATTCTCCTCATATGCGCACTTATTGCTATATATTTTCCTCTAAAGACTGCTTTAAATGTGTCCCAGAGATTCTGCCATGTTGTGTCTTCGATCTCATTGGTTTTGAAGAGCTTCTTAATTTCTGCCTTTATTTCACTGTTTATCTAGTCAACATTCAGGAGACAGTTGTTCAGTTTCCATGAAGTCGTGTGGTTCTAGGTTGGTTTCTGAATTATGAGTTCTAACTTGATTGCACTATGGTCTGAGAGACTGTTATGATTTCAGTTGTTTTGCATTTGCTGAGCAGTGCTTTACTTCCAATTATGTGGTCAATTTTAAAGTAGGTGTGATGTGGTGCTGAGAAGAATATATATTCTGTGGCTTTGGGGTGGAGAGTTCTGTAAATGTCTATCAGGTTTGCTTGTTCCAGGTCTGAGTTCAAGCCCTGAATATTCTTGTTGATTTTGTCTGGTTGATCTATTATTGACAGTGGAGTGTTAAAGTCTCCCACTATTATTGTGTGGGAGTCTAAGTCTCTTTGTAAGTCATTAAGAACTTGCCTTATGTATCTGGGTGCTCCTGTATTGGGTCCATATATGTTTAGGATGGTTAGCTCTTCTTATTGTATCGATCCTTTTAGCATTATGTAATGGCCTTCTTTGTCTCTTTTGATCTTTGTTGCTTTAAAGTCTATTTTATCAGAGATGAGAATTGCAACTCCTGCTTTTTTTTGCTCTCCATTTGCTTGGTAAATCTTCCTCCATCCCTTTATTTTGAGCCTTTGTGTATCCTTGCATGTGAGATGGGTTTCCTGAATACAGCACACTGATGAGTTTTTGTTTTTTGTCCAATTTGCCTGTCTGTGTCTTTTGATTGGTGCATTTAGCCCCTTTACATTTAGGGTAAATATTATGTGTGAATTTGATACTGCCATTTTGATGCTAGCTGGCTGTTTTGCCCGTTAATTGATGTAGATTCTTCATTTTGTTGATGTTCTTTAGCATTTAGTGTGATTTTGGAATGGCTGGTACTGGTTGTTCCTTTCTATGTGTAGTGCCTCTTTCAGGAGCTCTTGTAAAGCAGGCCTGGTGGTGACAAAATCTCTGAGTACTTGCTTGTTCGCAAAGGATTTTCTTATTCCTTCACTTATGAAGCTCAGTTTGGCTGGATATGAAATTCTGGCTTGAAAGTTCTTTTCTTTAAAGATGTTGAATATTTGCCCCCACTCTCTTCTGGCTTGTAGAGTTTCTGCCAAGAGATCTGTTGTGAGTCTGATGAGCTTCCCTTTGTGGGTGACCCGACCTTTCTCTCTGGCTGCCCTTAGTATTTTCTCCTTTACTTCAACCCTGTTGAATCTGACGATTATGTGCCTTGGGGTTGTTCTTCTTGCTGAATATCTTTGTGGTGTTCTCTGTATTTCCTGCATTTGAGTGTTGGCCTGCCTTGATAGGTGGGGGAAATTTTCCTGGATAATATCCTGAAGAGTATTTTCCAGCTTGGATTCATTCTCTTCGTCACATTCTGGTACACCTATCAAACGTAGGTTAGGTCTCTTCACATAGTCCCACATTTCTTGGAGACTTTGTTCATTCCTTTTTGCTCTTTTGTCTCTAATCTTGGTTTCTCGTTTTATTTCATTGAGTTGATCTTCGACTTCTGATAGTCTTTCTTCTGCTTGGTCCATTCGGCTGTTGAAACTTGTGCATGCTTCGCGAAGTTCTCGTATTGGGTTTTTCAGCTCCTTCAATTCATTCATATTCCTAAGTTTTCCATTCTTGTTATCATTTCCTCAAATCTTTTTTCAAGGTTCTTAGTTCCTTTGTATTGATCTAAAACATGTTCTTTTAGCTCACAAAAGTTTCTCATTATCCACCGTCTGAAGTCTAATTCCATCATTTCATCACAGTCACTCTCCGTGCAGCTTTGCTCCCTTGCTGGTGAAGGGTTTTGGTCCTTTGTAGGAGTCACGGTGTTCTGGTTTTGGGTGTTTTCCTCCTTTTTGCGCTGGTTTCTTCCCATCTCTGTGGATTTATCCACCTGTCATCTGAGTAGTTGCTGATTTTTCGATTGGGTCTCTGAGTGGACGCCCAGATTGTTGATGAAGTATTTCTGTTACTTGGTTTTCCTTCTACCAGTCTAACCCCTCCACTGTATGACTGCTGAGGTACACTCCAGGCCCTGCTTTTCTGGGATGCATCTATAGTGGCTGCGGAACAGTGAGGGATGCTACCAGTTTCTTTTTCTGCTATCTTTGTCCCAGAATGATGCCTGCCAAATGTCAGTCTTCTGGATATAGAGGGGTCAGGGAGCTGCTTGAGGAGACAGTCTGTATTTTATAGGAGGTCAAGTGCTGAGCTGTGAGTTCTGTTGTTCATTCAGGGCTGTTAGGCTGCTACATTTAATTCTGCTGCAGCAGAACTCATAAAAAAAAAAAACCCTTTTTTTAACAGTTGCTCTGTCTCGGGGGGTTGGGGCTTGCTTTATGAGTGTCCATTGCGCTGTCCTGCCCAGCTAGGAGGCAGTCTAGTCACTATTTGCCTGCTGAGGCTCTGCCCTGCTGGTGTAAGGTCCGCCCTGTTGCTGCAGGCTCTGCCCTGCTGCTGTGGTCTCCGCCCTGCTACAAGCTATGCCCTGCAGCGGAGTCTCTCTGTTGTGGGTTGCCTCGGCAACGACAGGCCTCCGCACATTCACTGACAGCTTCAATCTTGGGTTGTTCTCACCGCGCCATCTTGAGTCGGTCTCCTGAAAACAAAATTTAAAAAACAGAGGCTCCCTGAATCCTTCCCTCAACCCCTCCCAAGTGAGCACGGCCCTGACATGTCTTCAGGGCTTTGCTTTGCTGGCATCTGACAAAGATACAGAAATGTCAATGCCCAAACCCATGCTCTCTACATATAGAAGCCTCCAACCTCATCTTGAAAAAGAAAGCAATGAGGCTACCCCAGGACCCTAGGGCTCCAAAGAAGCTAAAAAACCCCTAGGACTAAACATATCTCAGTGCCTCTTGGATTTTACCATGTTCACTGCTTCATACCAGGACCTACTGAGTGCCTCCTGGCCTGCAATACTGGGCTGGGTGGGCTGCTTGCTCGTGTGACAAGAGCCTGGGAGTGCCTCCACCCCTCTCACACCTTTCCCAGGAGGCCTGAACCAGGGGGATTCATGGTCAACCCTACTGTCTCCTCAGAATAAACTAGCGATGCTCCCTGTTGGCTTCAAGGGGCTGGGAGGACAGAGCTGGGTCCCCCCAAATGAGATGTTGGTGAGTTTAAGGGTCACTGCAGAAAAATAACACAGTGCACAGCCCTCAGAATCCCACACATGGTTGCCCAACTGGCACCTCAGTGTCTCCCTCACTAAGTAGCCTGATGAGGGCTCAGCCCAGAAGGCTGATGCTATGGAGTGGGTGTCTGTTCCTGGAGGATGTTCTCAGGGCATCCTTTACTTGCCTTCAGAGGTTTCTAACATATTTTACAAATGTCCAAAATGTTCTGGGCTCGCCGCCTGGTGTTATTCCTGGGCTTACTGGTTTTCCTGATGGAAAAAGAAAAAAGTGAGCGTAGCCATGAAGAACACAAACACTTGTCTCCTTCCCCTCATCATTCTTCCCGCTGCATTCTCACCTTTCCTTCTTCACTTTCAGCTTCTTTGTTGCTTTTTCTGTAGGTTTAGAACATTCTTTCACCTGGGAGAAAAAGAACAATTGTACATGTCCAAAGATACCAATGCAGTACACTGTGAAGCAAGTGTCCAGAACAGACCCAAATGTCACGGGGGGTCTCCAGCAGAATGGGGTCCAGGTCTTCTGATCCCCAGCCTGGCTCCCTCCCTGGACCCTGTAGGGTAGTTCAGAAAATTCAAAGCTGCAACCTGAGGGTCAGTAAACAGACCAATGCCAAGGCAGTGGGCAGGGGGGCTGGAGAGGGATTTTATCAACACTGAAGACCCCAAGGACCTCAACTGTGAAATGAGACCAAGGCCTTCAGGAGAACAATCACATGAAAGGGAAAGAGGAAAAGGACCAGAGTTAACAAAAAAAAAAAAAAAAAAAAAAGATCATGGGTCAGAAAGAGGATAAGAGAGAAAGAGGATACAAAAAAACATAAATTACCTGCTGATGGCTGCCTGCAATGGAGTCTTCCAGTTCTGTGAAGCAAGTATCAGAGCGTCCAGAAAAGGAGCAGTGATGGGGTAGCCATAAGTAGGAAAAAGGAGACTTAGAGTTGAGACAACCACTCAGACCCCACTGTCTTAGAGCTGTGCAGCTATGTTCATTTCTAGACCCTTCTCAACAGCCTGTATCTCCTCTGTGCTATGAGAAAGGGACCCCAGACTTCCCACATACTTTCCCAGCCTTCACATTCCATAACTGAGGAAAAGGGAAAACTGTGTCATTCTGTTTTTCGAAGAGGCAGTCACCCTCTTGACAATGATGTGTATGATGTGGAATTCCCTCCCTCCTCCATCTGTAGGGCCTATTTCTGTTCTCATGAATCCAATTTTTTTTCTCCCTGTATACCAACACCAGTCCTACTGCTCTTCAATACAAGACATCAGAATGAATATCAAGCCTGCCTTGTCAGGCCCTCCAATAAACCTGTGGATCACACGCTAGGTCAGCAGCACCTGCCGTAGGCCTGGAGTTGTGCTGGGGCCTGTGGAAGGTGATAATGTCTAATGTCACAGTTAAGAGTGACTGTTCTATGTCTGGAATGGCCTTAAAGACTTGGTTAATATTCAGCCCTCAAAACAATCCCAGTAGCTTCTGAAAATGTGGAAACAATGTAACAAAATTTGAGATACAGCCTCTTACCCAGTTGCCTTAATCTGAAGCTGAGGCCAGCAGTTGCCAGCATGTAAGTGAGACGCCCTCTCAGAGTCTGCCTGAACTATGCAAAGACCAGAAGGAAAGGAACCAGGCAGTTCTGACACAGAGAACAAGCTGGGTCTGACTGGAGTGTGAGGAGCAGGTCAAGACTGTTGGGCCAGAGAGGACAATGTGACAAGACAAGTGACCCCTATGCCAGCTGTCCAGCACTTCTGTCCTGGGCCCACTTTAGTCCAGGGACCAGGCTACAGGGAGAGTGAGAGCCACTGTCTACAGAAACACAGCAACCCCTCCACACATATCCCCTAGGATTCCTGCCAGCCACAGAGGGCCTTGAGCAAAAGCTGGCCTCGGGCCTCTCAAGTAAAAACCAAATCAGTTTTCATTCAAAGCCCAAGGATTTGGCATTGGAAAAGACCGGGTGAGGAGTGGAGGCCAAAAATGTGCTCAGTCATGTGTTCTGCCCTCAGGACCCCAGGATTCTGGGGCATACGTACGAATCCCGGAGGAAAGATTCTCTCCAGGAAGCACCATTAGAGCAGGAGCAGACAGTGAGGACAGTACAGGAAGGTGTTGGTGCAGGTCCCGAGAATGTAGAGAAAGGAGTGCACTCCCTTCACCTGGCACATGTATGAGCGACTTTGTCTTCAGAATCACATAGTGCCTGTGAGGGGCTGTGTCCCACCCCACACTCAACTTTACACCTGCATACTAATCTTCTGTTTTCTATTCACAGAGCCCATGAGAACAAAACTCTTACGACTTTCTCATTAAGATACAAAACAAGCCAAGTGAGAATTCTACACCTATTTTCCTTTGATGTTTATTAACTTCAGAGATCCCATCCTAGGCTCCAAAACAAGGATTGTCTCTCACTGTTGTACCACAATTGTACGCAAGAATTGTCTCTCACTCTTCAACCCCGGAGTGTTGGTCCCGCCCTGATCAGTCTATTTCCTCCTGGATAGATTCATGAGCCCATGTACACACACACAAACAGCACTGCTGCTCTGTCCACTGTGATTCTCCCTGGGCTCTGTGACCTTGGGGGCCTTTATGAAAGCACTGCTCACAGTTGTGAGCCTTTAGATGAGACACAGGACATGAAATAATCTCCTTCAACTGTTCAGTGACACTGGCTCACAGCATCTCTTACTTTCAATCTGAGAACCCTGAGATTCCACCCTTGATGCACGTGCACTCAGTTAGGTGAGTGCAGCAAACAGAACCTGGGCCAGACTCACAGCAGCTGCTTCCCAAATGATTCTGGGAGAATGGCGATGCTCTCTTAAGAGTACACTTTGGCAACTGGGCATTGTAGCATGGCTCTTGTGAGGAGGTTACACATTTTTTTCATTTATTTAAATATGAATGAGCACCTATGACACTGAGGACCACACTGGAATGCACAGGTCTAAACCCAAAGATGAGGAAGATGTGACTCTCCCCCCTGGTGATTCTGGCAGAGTGGTTGCTGCTCTGACCTGATCATTCACAAAGGGGTACTTCAAAGGCACATGAACAAGCTCCAGGACCCCTGTGTAGTGCAGGGAGGCCACAACAAAAATAAAAAAGCCTGGTCCACCGAAGGAGAACTCATAAACAGAAGAAAGAACATCTTCTGCAAGGAGAAAAACTGAACCAAAGTAGCCAGAATAGAGATGAGGAAGATACTTCACTGACTTCAGAGACAACCCTATTGTCCTGTAACCTTGGATCAGAACCCACTCAGGTTTCTTGATTACCATGAGAAACAACAGACTGCAGAAGATGAACAGGACACCTTTTCACACTCGTGCTGGATCTCAGCAAAAGGGTTGCAAGCATTGGAACATCACTGGAGGCCAAGATGGGCTGCCCAGGCTGAGCTCCGGGATGAGAAGGCATCATGAGGACATAGTCCCTGCCCTCTCAGTGACTAGTCATGGCCAGGATTCATTCACACATGAGTGAAACAAAACAAAGTTTGGGACTAATAATTCCAGGACTATCTCAGAGAAACAGGCAAAATGATATCTTATAGGTCACACAGGAGAGCTGCAAGGACCATGTGGACTCCGGAGCAGCACCTCTCCCTTTGCTGAGCTCACCCTGCACTGAAGCAGGGTCCCTCCTCACCTCCCCTGCAACTAGTGTGGGCAGGTGCCCTGCCTGAAAGCTGACACTCCCTCCAGTCACACAGGATTCTGGGCCAAACCACACGTGGCCAACAGCAACTACACAGGGACCAGCTGTCAGGTGACTCCCAGAAGCAGGTGAAAAGTAAGAGCTGCTCTCTGTCCCAGCCACAGGGGGACCAGGCCTAGGAACTACGCTGTGTCTGGCCTGACTGTGAAGTCTATCGCTGCTGATCATATCCTCTCTGGGCCAAGTCAGATGTTTCAGGAACTCACTCCTGTTCTCTGCCTCTCATTAATTTCTGGTGGTGCCACTGCCATCAACATACAGGAAAATAGAGAAGACAAGAAAAAAGAATGTAGCACCTCTGTCCAGGGTCTTAGGAAGACCGCCAGAAAGTGCTAAATCCAGCTCTGAAGTCAAAGTGCAACTCATTCTCCCTGTGTCAAAATGTGAACATCCCAGTTGTGCCCAGGTGATGATGTAGAACTGATGCATATCATCAAGAAAAAGGCACAAATTATGAACATATTCAACCACATTATGCAAGTGCTGAGATATTTCATGACCACCAGGCCTGCCTTTCAAGAGCTCCTGAAGGAAGCACTGAACATGGAAAGAAACAACCAGTGCCAGTGACTGCAAAAACATACCAAATGGTAAAGACCATCGACACAATGAAAACACTGCATCAACTGACGAGCCAAAGAAACAGTTAGCCTCAGAATGGCAGGATCAAATTCACACATAACGTTAACCTTCAATGTAAATGGGCTAAATGCCCCAATCAAAAGAGAAAGACTAGCAAGTTGGATAAAAGAGTCAAGACCCATTAATGTGCTATATTCAGGAGACCCATCTCACATGCAAAAGCACACATAGGCTCAAAATGGAGAGATAGAGGAAGACTTACCAAGCAAATGGAGAGCAGAATTTAAGAAGAAAATTAAAACAGGGGTTGCAAAACTAGTCTCTGATAAAACACTTTTAAGAGACCTTAATGGTAAAGGGATCAATGCAACAAGTAGAGCTAACAATCCTAAATATATATACACCAACACAGGAGCACCCAGACACATAAAGCAAGTTCTTCATGTCCTACAAAGAAGCTTAGACTCCCACACAACAACAGTGGGAGACTTAAACACTCCACTGTCAATATTAGACAGCTCAACGAGACAGAAAATTAACAAGGATATCCAGCACTTGAACTCAGATCTGGACCAAGCAGACCTAATAGAAATCTACACAACTATCCACCCCAAATCCACAGAATATACATTCTTCTCAGCAGCATATCACACCTACTCTAAAATTCACCACGTATATGGATGTAAATCACTCAGCCAATGCAAAAGAATGGAAATCATAACAAACAGTCTCTCAGACCACAAGGCAATCAAATTAGAACTGAGGATTAAGAAATCACTCAAAACCACACATCATGGAAACTGAAAAACCTGCTCCCAAATTACTGGATAAATAAGGACATGAAGGCAAAAATAAAGATGTTCTTTGAAGTCAGTGAGAACAAAGACACAATATACCAGAATCTCTGGGACACATTTAAAGCAGTGTCTAGAGGTGGATGTGGGAGAAGAGTAGCAGCCACAGGAGCGGAATAGCCAAGAAAGGGAATCAGGGCTTTTGGTTTCTAGCTCCAGGCCACGTCGTAACTATGAACTAGCCAATCTCAAACAGCACACCACACAGTGCAGGCTGTGTGTCCCTGGCCCCCTCATAGGGCTCCTCTTTCCTAATCTCACCTGAGCTCACTTGTCCTCTTATTGATTCCTGCCAATGTCATCTCCTCCTTAGAATCTGTATGTGCTGCTGTCTGTATATCATCTCCTCTAGAAGATTTTGTACTGAATAAGAAGCAACCTTTCTTGAAAGAGGAGATTTAATTCTAGCCAAAAGGTTTTATTAACTAACTTTTTGTTATTAGGCAATTAAAACAAGACTTGAAAACACTCAATTATCCTATGATTTAAAGATGACCCCTACTTAGCATGTGATTATTTGTACTTCCACTTTTCCTTTTCAACACAATGTGTGCGCACCATGGAGGTCACTGCTGCACACTGACTCCAGCATCGAGACGGCCCGTCATGCGAGCGGTGCAGAGGAGGGGCACTGATCCCCTCCAACCCAGCTCTGCGTGTGATTCCAGCTGGGAAAATGGGGCCAGGCTAACACCCAACTTGATCCTTAAGGTTCTAAAAGATACTATGTCCTGGCATTGGGTTCTACTGAGTTTCAAATGCTTGTGGTCATTATCTTTTTAAATGTGATAGAATATGTCACTAATTGTTCTCAGATTTTGAACATAAGGTGAGGAATGACTCCACCACTGTAGACCAAAAGCCTGTGAACTCTGTATGTTTTACATTAACGATGACACTAAAACCCACTGTGCAATGTACCTACTCAAACAAACCCTGGGAAAGTTGACCATTCAGACCATCCAATGATGATAGTATCGGGGATCTGAATAGGTTTTCATACTTCCACACGCACACAGAAGTGCTGGAACAACTTGGCATAGTGAGGAGCTATGCTAGGGCACACCACAGCTGACTGTACGATATACCTACTCCAACACCAGGTTATGCAACCACTGAGAATATCTAACAACAATAGACAGTGTTTGGAACTTCCATACATTTTCACGCTTTCACGTGCACCCAGAGATGCTAGGACTCCCTGGCATAGTCACGAATCATACCAGGGCATTGTGATGCTTCCAGTGCAGTAGAACATAGCACCATCTTTTCCCCATTCCTGAGCTCACAATTTCCTGTTCCATTGAGGAGACAAGACCATAAAATGTTCACCACTGCCTCATCTCTGAGGATGGGAACATACAACTAACCTTCACATTCAGCTGTGGTAGAGGATGAAGTGACTTACTTATCAAAGTGCAGTGGTGATAAAACTTGGTTTTAGAACTTTAATCTTTGTGTTGTGCATTGCACATGTTTTCTGGGGGAGAGGACACACACTTTCAAACATATCCACAGTCAGTCCATGGAGACTCTCTCCCTTATACCTCCTGATCCTGATGCACACCATCATATTCTATCTGAATGATGCTGCTGCTTCCAGAAACTAGAGATCACCTCAAGTTCTATAATGGACTCTCCATCGTTCTTACACCAAACTGCTCTAACCTCATTTCCAGCAGGAAGCTCCAACCAGAGTTGTTTTCCAGCACATGTAGACTAGAAAGTACCACCTTTGTCAACACTAAGATTTTTCCTTAGCAAAGGGGTGATCCCAGAATACATACCGTCATCCCATAAAGGTGACTGTCCCTGCATTTAGGAAAAAAAAACAAAAACAAAACACCATGAGGGTCAGGCATGTTGTGTCTTCTGTGCACAGCTTTTGTCTTCACTTGGGGACATTACAAAACCAGGTGAGAAATACTGGTAGAGGCAATAGCCCCAATGCCTAGAAGATGTCTGTGGAAAGGCACGATGTTTTCATCCATGATGCCATGATGTTTCCACTTTATTTTTCTCAAATTCACTTTTTTAAAAAAACAGTATTTATCCTGAAAAAGGATGCTTCCTGCCACACAGTTCCTAAAGAGCTGTTAAATTATGAATGCCATTCTGAATCATACTTAATTGGAAAAAAAAACTCACTTTGCATTATCCCACAAAGGGTCATCTATAATGTACAGTGTAAGATTTCCATATTCTAATTAAAATGAACAACAAAATACCCATTTCAAAGAAAGACTTTACCTTGTGAATGGCTATAATTTCTTCTGATGATTCTATCCCAGGCAAGATTCCTGCCGGAACAAATTCTCCTGTATGCAGAAAACAGAGTAACAGTCAACACATTGTTTCCACCGAAGGAGCCACTCTGGTGGCCTTGTGTGCTGTGAAGAGGGTGCTGGCCTGTGTTGACAAGCCGGGTTAACAGCACAGGCTGAGCTGCTGCTGACCCATCCCGCTTGGTGGTAAAGGCAGGCAAATGGGGTCATGAGAAGAGCCATGGACAATGAGGCCTTGGTCCTCTAGCTAAAGCAAGCTCCTCAATGTGAGAATGCCCATCTCAAGCAGGGCGCACCACACACGGCAGGCCGTGCTTCCCTGCAGCATTTCAGGGCTCCTCCTTCCTAAACTGACCTGAGCTAACTTGCCCTCCCTTCGTGATCCCCTCGAGGTCATTTCCAGCTCAGGATCCACATGTGCTACTGCTGTGTCCCTCTTAGATCATTTTGTACTAGATAAAAAGCAACCTTTCTTCAAAGAGGAGTCTTAATTCCAGACACAGTATTCTATGCATTCACTAAACTTTTGTTTTAAAGAAGACTATATCAAGACTTGAAAATACTCAATTATCCTACCATGCTCTTGCCGGCACTGACTCCAGCACTGGGACAGCGCATCCTTGGGAGCAGCAGGTGGGGGTTCTAACCCTCTCCAACCCAGCTGCACAGAAGACTCCAGAATATATGAGTACCTAAACTACACCCAAGTTTTTCCTTCAATTCTTTTTTGAGATGGAGTCTTGCTCTGTCACCTGGGATAGAGTGCAGTGTCATGATCTCTGCTCCCTACAATCTTTGCATCCCTGTAACCTCTGCCTCCGAGTCATTGGGACTGTAGGCACATGCCACCACACATGGCTACTTTTTGTATTTTTAAAGACCAGGTTTCACCATACTGGCCAGGCGAGTCTCAAACTCCTGACCTCGTGATCCACCCGCCTCAGCCTCCCAAAGTGTTAGGATTACAGGTGTGAGCCACTGTGCCTCAACTTTCCTTCAGTTATTTGGTGCTGTGTCTTGGGTGTGTGCTGAACTGCAGCATATGAAAGGCTTGTCGTGATGATCTCAGTAAATATAATATGTCTGACTATTTTCTGCTTTTGACCAGGAGCTGAAAAAATAAGCCAGCACTGCAGACAAAATCCTGACCTCTCAATGTCTGTTTCCCACTTCTGACCACACCAAAGTCCACTGTAAAATGTTCCTACTCCTACACTGAGTTATGTGATGTTTGCAACAATCCTATGAGAGAGACAGTGTTTGGGATTTCTAAAGGCTATCAAACATCCATATGCACACCTAGGTGCTAAAACTCTCACATAACGACAAATTATACCAGGACTATGTGATTACTTCCGAGTAGTAGTGGTGGCATCAACCTTCCTCCCGCTCCTGAGTTCATCTCTGCCTCTTGCACTGAAGAGATAAAGAGATTGGCAATCTCCTCTCTGCAGTATCTCCATGTGATTAATGGAGATATTAAACTTACCTCCAGCTACAGATGTGGTGGAGGATAAATGGGCTCATTTACATACGGTGTTCAGTGGTGATGAAATCTTTATTTACAACATTCACCTTTGTGTTGAGCTCTGCACATGGAAACACGCTTTCTGGACAAATGTACACAAACTCCCAAAGACATTCACAATCACTATAAACAGACTCTCACCTTATAACCCCCACCTTGAGGCATCCCATTCTATTTCACAAAAATGACACTATGGCTAACAGGAACTATGGAGGAGAGCCACCACTCTTCAGTACACTCTTAATTTCTGCCCAAATCTTGTTTTCCAAAAAGAAGCTCCAATGACAGTGCCTCATTAGACAAAGCAGGCAAGAAAGTGTCACTTTCTCAACACTAAGATTTTTCCCAAGCAGAATGATCCCGGAATACGTACTCGTCCATTCGGAAAGTGATGAAGATGACTCCTCCTGCATTAAGAGAAAGAAAAACACTGAGGGTAAGATTATGCTGTGTCCTGTGTACACAGGTCTTTTTCCTAACTGTTCCTAACAGGCGCTGTTGGAAAACCAGATGGAAAATTGTGGTGGTGGCTACAGCCCCAAACATAAAGCCTAGAAAACACTTGCAGAAAGGCACCAGCTTTTTGGGCAGGATTTTAAAGCTTATTTTGGTTGCAAATTCATAATTTTCAAGAAAGATTTTCTCCTGAGGAAAAGCTTGCTGACATAGTTTATATGAATTCTCATTTTACATTTTCCTACCTAGAAATTCACTAAGTCATCTATAATGTACATGTTAGGATTCTCAAATCTTTATTCAAGTACAATAAAAAGAAACATAGGAAGATAAATAAAATTTAACTTCCAGACAAAGGAAGAACTTACTGTGATAACCGAGAGGGATGCCTGAAAGGGTTTCATATGGGGACATGCTGCAGGGTACTCTTGTTGATCTAGGAGACATAGGGCAAGTGTCACCACACGTATTCTACTGAGGAAATCCCTTGTGTTGTATTGGGGGGTGTGGACAGGAGGCTGGCTTATGGAGGTGAGTTACAGCAGACGGAGCTGTAGACCCACCCTCCTCATTTCACTCTGTTGCTCAGGCTGGACTGGTGTGGCGTGATCTAGGCTCACTGCAACCTCCACCTCCCAGGATGAAGTGATTCTCCTGCCACAGTCTCTCAACTAGCTGGGATGACTGACACCCACCACCATGTGCAGTTAATTTTCTTGTTGTTAGACACAGTGTTTTGCCATGATGGCCAGGCTGGTCTCAAACACCTGACCTCAAGTAATTAACCCACCTCGGCCTTCCAAAGTGCTAGGATTACAGGCATGAGCCACCGCACCCAGCCTGGTCTCTGCTTTTAAACAGGAGCTGAGGAATAACCCAATCACAGCAGCTCCTAACCTCTCCCTGTGTGTTTCACATTTCTAACCACAGGAAAGTCCACTGTAAAAGTTACCTATTCTAATCCTGGGTTATGTGACCATTAAGACCATCCCATAATGATAGAGAGTGCTTAGAATTTCTATAGGCTATTGTACTTCCACATGCACACCATGGTTCTCAAAGTCACTGCTAGGGTGATGAGTTATACAAGGGCTGTGTGATCAATGCAGTATAATAGCCCACAGCATCACCTCCCACCCATTCCTGACTTTGCACTTCCCTCCTCTATTTAGAAGGCCATGAGTTTGGGAAATTTATCTCTGTACAAACTGTATCTGAGGAGTGCATACATTAAACTTACCTTAAGCTACAGCTGTGGTGGAGAATGAATGGGTTGATGTATTTAAAGTGTACGTACATCAACTATTTGAAAAATTAATACTAGTGTTGTACTTTGAACATGCATAAAAATTCACAGGGACCTTCACCCCCACTGCAGATAGACTCTCTACTCCATACCTCCCAAACCTGATGCACACCACCCTCTTTCATGTAAGCAACACAACTTCATGAAAACACTACAGAAAGACGGTACTATTCCCTACCAAACTCTGAATGATTTTTATAGAAAACTGCCTAAAATCTCTTTTCTGTTAGGAAGGTTAAACCAGAGAAATTCTGTAACAAAAGCAGGGTAAAAAGTGTAATCATTCTGAAAAACTAAGGTATTTCCTTAGCAAAAAAGTAATCCCTGGGAGTGAAGGCAAGAGGGAAAAGATCATTAGTACAAATACCTAGTGCATGCGAGGCTTAACACCTCAATGATGGGTTGATAGGTGCAACAAACAACCATGACACGTTTACACTTACGTAATAAACCAGCTCCTTCCACACATGCATCTCAGAACTTAAAATAAAATTGAAACACACACACACACACACACACACACACACACACACATAGACGCACACACAGAAGGTAGGATACAGTGGCTAATGACTGTAATCCCAGCACATTGATATGATACTTACCAGCTTGCTGCAGTCCTGTAGCCTCCTGTAATTACAGAAAATAAACTGCTATGAGCACCAGACCATGCTGTTCCCTGACCTTCCTGCACTTGGTAACATTAAAAAACAAGATGGAAACAAGGGTTCAATCAAAGAAGCCCACAGGAAGAAGCGAGCACATCGACTATGCTAAAGACAACGTTTTTCTTGGATGATGTTTCCTTCCAACCATGTTGTTTGGCCATTATGTGCTTTTAGTCCCCAAAAGAAAACAAACCTGCCAAGGCAAAAAAACTTGTGACCACAGAGTGTGTGGTTAATGCTGTCATTTTCTCCCACTGTCTTGAATTGAGTCTCACTCAAGAAGAGACTCTCGTTCAAAACTCCCCCAGCCAAGGAAATTCTGTAAGTCACCTACAATTTATATGGAAAAATTCTCCTATCTTATATAACATTTTCTGATGTTGATTCAAAAAAATAAAGTCAAGAAAGCAATAGTTTAACTCAGACACAGCCTGTGGCCTGACATTCATATCCCATTGTACCTTGACCCATGCAGCATCAACAGAAGGGTCCTCCTGCTGAAGATCAGGCCCTAGAAGGATGCAAAGTGACTGTCAATACCTGGTGGCATTGCTCATTAACAACTCAGGGGCATGCTACGATGTGAGTAAAGGGGGAGAATGGCAGGAAAAGGACAGGAGCGGAAAAGAAAGGGAATCAGGGCCTTTGGGTTTATAGCTCCAGGCCACCTGGAATAGTCCATCTCAAACATGGCACCCCACACAGGGCAGGTTATGTTTCCCCGCAGGTGCTCAGGGTTCCTCCTTTCTAATCTGAGCTCAGCCATCTTGCCCTCCCTTCTTCACCCCTTCCAAAGTCATTTCCTCCCACAGTTCACAAGTAGTGCTACCCTGACTATGACCCCATCTACAAGATTTTCTACATGATAAGGAACAAGCTTGACTCAGATAAAATATTACATTCTGGCCAACATATGATGTTGTATTTATTTATTTTACCTTTCTAACACTTTTTACTTTAAGAGATAACAGTGCTATTGTATTTATTAACCCTTAGTAAAAACTTAAACCAAAATATGAAAATACTCAGTGATCCTATCACTTGAAGATAACCGCTGCTTAGCATATGGTATTTCTCTTTCCACTCTTTATTTTCATCACCTCATGTGTGTTAAATGGGGTCCACAGCTGATCATACACTGGCTCCAAGGCTCTCCCAGTCCTGGGAGAAGGTGAGTGGCCGAAGGTGCGATGTTGATCCTCTCTAACCAAGCTGTGCAGAACAATCTAGCTACACAAGGACCACCTGTCAGGCTACTGCCAGAAGCTATTCACTGTGCCACGAAAGGGAGATCAAGCTGGGTAACTACCCTCAAGTGTCTGGCCTAACCCTCAAGTTCATCCCTGCTGATCATGTCCTCTCTGGGCTAAGTTGAACGTTTCAGGAACTCACTCCTGTTCACTGTCTCTCACTAGTTTCTGTTGGAGCCCCTGCCATCAACACAAAGAAACATGGAGAAGACAAGAAACAAAGTAGCTCCTCTAAAATAGCTCCTAGAAAAACGGCTACCATTCAGGCCAGCCATGAAGTCGGAGCTAAAGTCCACCTTTAGATGAGGCTGGAACATTCCAGAGATGCCCAGGTAATAGTGTACAACTCACTCTCCTGGTGTACACCTTGGCTTCCCCTCCACCTTCATGGCTTTGCTGCCCTCATGCCTTTCTTCTATTCCTCTAAATCATGTATCTTGGCAGGCCCTGGCCAAGGCCACGACCTGCTCTCTCATAGAGCCCACTGGGCAGCCGTCTATGAATTATACATCCACAATGTCGCTAATTCTGATCTCAACCTTTAATCACCCACAGCAGAAAGCCCACCGGGTATCAAACAACAATAACAATAACAAAACAACAACAAACAAAAGCTAAGGATATTCTCGGGATTAAAGAGGACTTAGGGGAATTGGGTTACAAGGAGATGGCATCTGAGGTTAACAGGAAACATTTGAAAATCACAAAAGCCTCAGTGCTTTTAATTGCGGGATAAGTACTGACATTGACACGGCAATAAAATTTGATTTATAGACAATAAGTCGCCACACAGCAGCCTTAATCTGCAGCTGAGGCCAGCAGTTGTCAGGCCCTCTCAGGGTTTGCCTGAGCTATTCAAAGACCAGTAGGGAAGGCACCCGGCAGTCCTGACACAGAGAACAAGCTGGGTCTGACTGGAGTGTGAGGAGCAGCTCAAGACTGTTGGGCCAGAGAGGAGAATGTGACAAGACAAGTGACCCCTATGCCAGCTGTCCAGCACTTCTGTCCTGGGCCCACTTTAGTCCAGGGACCAGGCTACAGGGAGAGTGAGAGCCACTGTCTACAGAAACACAGCAACCCCTCCACACATATCCCCTAGGATTCCTGCCAGCCACAGAGGGCCTTAAGCAAAAGCTGGCCTCGGGCCTCTCAAGTAAAAACCAAATCAGTTTTCATTCAAAGCCCAAGGATTTGGCATTGGATAAGACTGGGTGAGGAGTGGAGGCCAAAAATGTGCTCAGTCATGTGTTTCTGGGGCATACGTAGGAATCCCAGAGGAAAGATTCTCTCCAGGAAGCACCCTTAGAGCAGGAGCAGGCAGTGAGGACAGTACAGGAAGGTGTTGGTGCAGGTCCCGAGAATGTAGAGAAAGAGAGTGCACTCCCTTCACCTGGCACATGTATGAGCGACTTTGTCTTCAGAATCACATAGTGCCTGTGAGGGGCTGTGTCCCACCCCACTCTCAACTTTACACCTGCATACTAATCTTCTGTTTTCTATTCACAGAGCCCATGAGAACAAAACTCTTACGACTTTCTCATTAAGATACAAAACAAGCCAAGTGAGAATTCTACACCTATTTTCCTTTGATGTTTATTAACTTCAGAGATCCCATCCTAGGCTCCAAAACAAGGATTGTCTCTCACTGTTGTACCACAATTGTACGCAAGAATTGTCTCTCACTCTTCAACCCCGGAGTGTTGGTCCCGCCCTGATCAGTCTATTTCCTCCTGGATAGATTCATGAGCCCATGTACACACACACAAACAGCACTGCTGCTCTGTCCACTGTGATTCTCCCTGGGCTCTGTGACCTTGGGGGCCTTTATGAAAGCACTGCTCACAGTTGTGAGCCTTTAGATGAGACACAGGACATGAAATAATCTCCTTCAACTGTTCACTGACACTGGCTCACAGCATCTCTTACTTTCAGTCTGAGAACCCTGAGATTCCACCCTTGATGCACGTGCACTCAATTAGGTGAGTGCAGCAAACAGAACCTGGGCCAGACTCACAGCAGCTGCTTCCCAAATGATTCTGGGAGAATGGCGATGCTCTCTTAAGAGTACACTTTTGGCAACTGGGCATTGTAGCATGGCTCTTGTGAGGTTACAAATTTTTTTCATTTATTTAAATATGAATGAGTACATATGCCACTGAGGACCACACTGGAACGCCAGGTCTAAACACAAAGATGAGGAAGATGTGACTCTCCCCCCTGGTGATTCTGGCGGAGTGGTTGCTGCTCTGACCTGATCATTCACAAAGGGGTACTTCAAGAGCACATGAACAAGCTCCAGGACCCCTGTGTAGTGCAGAAAGGCCATAACAAAAATAAAAAAGCCTGGTCCACCGAAGGAGAACTCATAAACAGAAGAAAGAACATCTTCTGCAAGGAGAAAAACTGAACCAAAGTAGCCAGAATAGAGATGAGGAAGATACTTCATTGACTTCAGAGACAACCCTATTGTCCTGTAACCTTGGATCAGAACCCACTCAGGTTTCTTGATTACCATGAGAAACAACAGACTGCAGAAGATGAACAGGACACCTTTTCACACTCGTGCTGGATCTCAGCAAAAGGGTTGCAAGCATTGGAACATCACTGGAGGCCAAGATGGGCTGCCCAGGCTGAGCTCCGGGATGAGAAGGCATCATGAGGACATAGTCCCAGCCCTCTCAGTGACTAGTCATGGCCAGGATTCATTCACACATGAGTGAAACAAAACAAAGCTTGGGACTAATAATTCCAGGACTATCTCAGAGAAACAGGCAAAATGATATCTTATAGGTCACACAGGAGAGCTGCAAGGACCATGTGGACTCCGGAGCAGCACCTCTCCCTTTGCTGAGCTCACCCTGCACTGAAGCAGGGTCCCTCCTCACCTCCCCTGCAACTAGTGTGGGCAGGTGCCCTGCCTGAAAGCTGACACTCCCTCCAGTCACACAGGGTTCTGGGCCAAACCACACGTGGCCAACAGCAACTACACAGGGACCAGCTGTCAGGTGACTCCCAGAAGCAGGTGAAAAGTAAGAGCTGCTCTCTGTCCCAGCCACAGGGAGACCAGGCCTGGGAACTACGCTGTGTCTGGCCTGACCGTGAAGTCTATCGCTGCTGATTATATCCTCTCTGGGCCAAGTCAGATGTTTCAGGAACTCACTCCTGTTCTCTGCCTCTCATTAATTTCTGGTGGTGCCACTGCCATCAACATACAGGAAAATAGAGAAGACAAGAAAAAAGAACGTAGCACCTCTGTCCAGGGTCTTAGGAAGACTGCCAGAAAGTGCTAAATCCAGCTCTGAAGTCAAAGTGCAACTCATTCTCCCTGTGTCAAAATACGAACATCCCAGTTGTGCCCAGGTGATGATGTAGAACTGATGCATATCATCAAGAAAAAGGCACAAATTACGAACATATTCAACCACATTATGCAAGTGCTGAGATATTTCATGACCACCAGGCCTGCCTTTCAAGAGCTCCTGAAGAAAGCACTAAACATGGAAAGAAACAACCAGTGCCAGTGACTGCAAAAACATACCAAATGGTAAAGACCATCGACACAATGAAAACACTGCATCAACTGACGAGCCAAAAAAATAGTTAGCCTCAGAATGGCAGGATCAAATTCACACATAACGTTAACCTTCAATGTAAATGGGCTAAATGCCCCAATCAAAAGAGAAAGACTAGCAAGTTGGATAAAAGAGTCAAGACCCATTAATGTGCTATATTCAGGAGACCCATCTCACATGCAAAAACACACATAGGCTCAAAATGGAGAGATAGAGGAAGACTTACCAAGCAAATGAATTAAAACAGGGGTTGCAAACCTAGTCTCTGATAAAACAGACTTTTAAGAGACCTTAATGGTAAAGGGATCAATGCAACAAGTAGAGCTAACAATCCTAAGTATATATATATATATATACCCAACACAGGAGCACCCAGACACATAAAGCAAGTTCTTCATGTCCTACAAAGAAGCTTAGACTCCCACACAACAACAGTGGGAGACTTAAACACTCCACTGTCAATATTAGACAGCTCAACGAGACAGAAAATTAACAAGGATATCCAGCACTTGAACTCAGATCTGGACCAAGCAGACCTAATAGAAATCTACACAACTATCCACCCCAAATCCACAGAATATACATTCTTCTCAGCAGCATATCACACCTACTCTAAAATTCACCACGTATTTCGATGCAAAAGAATGGAAATCATAACAATCAGTCTCTCAGACCACAAAGCAATCAAATTAGAACTGAGGATTAAGAAATCACTCAAAACCACACATCATGGAAACTGAAAAACCTGCTCCCGAATTACTGGATAAATAAGGACATGAAGGCAAAAATAAAGATGTTCTTTGAAGTCAGTGAGAACAAAGACACAATATACCAGAATCTCTGGGACACATTTAAAGCAGTGTCTAGAGGTGGATGTGGGAGAAGAGTAGCAGCCACAGGAGCGGAATAGCCAAGAAAGGGAATCAGGGCTTTTGGTTTCTAGCTCCAGGCCACGTCGTAACTATGAACTAGCCAATCTCAAACAGCACACCACACAGTGCAGGCTGTGTGTCCCTGGCCCCCTCGTAGGGCTCCTCTTTCCTAATCTCATCTGAGCTCACTTGTCCTCTTATTGATTCCTGCCAATGTCATCTCCTCCTTAGAATCTGTATGTGCTGCTGTCTGTATATCATCTCCTCTAGAAGATTTTGTACTGAATAAGAAGCAACCTTTCTTGAAAGAGGAGATTTAATTCTAGCCAAAAGGTTTTATTAACTAACTTTTTGTTATTAGGCAATTAAAACAAGACTTGAAAACACTCAATTATCCTATGATTTAAAGATGACCCCTACTTAGCATGTGATTATTTGTACTTCCACTTTTCCTTTTCAACACAATGTGTGCGCACCATGGAGGTCACTGCTGCACACTGACTCCAGCATCGAGACGGCCCGTCATGCGAGCGGTGCAGAGGAGGGGCACTGATCCCCTCCAACCCAGCTCTGCGTGTGATTCCAGCTGGGAAAATGGGGCCAGGCTAACACCCAACTTGATCCTTAAGGTTCTAAAAGATACTATGTCCTGGCATTGGGTTCTACTGAGTTTCAAATGCTTGTGGTCATTATCTTTTTAAATGTGATAGAATATGTCACTATTGGTTCTCAGATTTTGAACATAAGGTGAGGAATGACTCCACCACTGTAGACCAAAAGCCTGTGAACTCTGTATGTTTTACATTAACGATGACACTAAAACCCACTGTGCAATGTACCTACTCAAACAAACCCTGGGAAAGTTGACCATTCAGACCATCCAATGATGACAGTATCGGGGATCTGAATAGGTTTTCATTCTTCCACACGCACACAGAAGTGCTGGAACAACTTGGCATAGTGAGGAGCTATGCTAGGGCACACCACAGCTGACTGTACGATATACCTACTCCAACACCGGGTTATGCAACCACTGAGAATATCTAACAACAATAGACAGTGTTTGGGGCTTTCATACATTTTCAGGCTTTCACGTGCACCCAGAGATGCTAGGACTCCCTGGCATAGTCACGAATCATACCAGGGCATTGTGATGCTTCCAGTGCAGTAGAACATAGCACCATCTTTTTCCCCATTCCTGAGCTCACAATTACCTGTTCCATTGAGGAGACAAGACCATAAAATGTTCACCACTGCCTCATCTCTGAGGATGGGAATATACAACTAACCTTCACATTCAGCTGTGGTAGAGGATGAAGCGACTTATTTATGAAAGTGCAGTGGTGATAAAACTTGTTTTTAGAATGTTAATCTTTGTGTTGTGCATTGCACATGTTTTCTGGGTCAGAGCACACACACTTTCAAACATATCCACAGTCAGTCCATGGAGACTCTCTCCCTTATACCTCCTGATCCTGATGCACACCATCATATTCTATCTGAATGATGCTGCTGCTTCCAGAAACTAGAGATCACCTCAAGTTCTATAATGGACTCTCCATCGTTCTTACACCAACCTGCTCAAACCTCATTTCCAGCAGGAAGCTCCAACCAGAGTTGTTTTCCAGCACATGTAGACTAGAAAGTACCACCTTTGTCAACACTAAGATTTTTCCTTACCAAAGGGGTGATCCCAGAATACATACCGTCATCCAATAAAGTTGAGTATCCCTGCATTTAGGAAAAAAAGCAAAAACAAAACACCATGAGGGTCAGGCATGTTGTGTCTTCTGTGCACAGCTTTTGTCTTCACTTGGGGACATTACAAAACCAGGTGAGAAATACTGGTAGAGGCAATAGCCCCAATGCCTAGAAGATGTCTGTGGAAAGGCACGATGTTTTCATCCATGATGCCATGATGTTTCCACTTTATTTTTCTCAAATTCACTTTTTTAAAAAAACAGTATTTATCCTGAAAAAATATACTTCCTACCACACAGTTCCTAAAGAGCTGTTAAATTATGGATGCCATCTTGAATCATACTTAGTTGGGGAAAAAAACTCACTTTGCATTATCCCACAAAGAAACGGTCATCTATAATGTACAGTGTAAGATTTCCATATTCTAATTAAAATGAACAACAAAATACCCATTTCAAAGAAAGACTTTACCTTGTGAATGGCTATAACTTCTTCTGACGAATCTATCCCAGGCAAGATTACTGCTGGAACAAATTCTCCTGTATGCAGAAAACAGAGTAACAATCAACACATTGTTTCCACCGAAGGAGCCACTCTGGTGGCCTTGTGCGCTGTGAAGAGGGTGCTGGCAGGTGTTGACAAGCCGGGTTAACAGCACAGGCTGAGCTGCTGCTGACCCATCCCGCTTGGTGGTAAAGGCAGGCAAATGGGGTCATGAGAAGAGCTATGGACAATGAGGCCTTGGTCCTCTAGCTAAAGCAAGCTCCTCAATGTGAGACAGCCCATCTCAAGCAGGGCGCACCACACACGGCAGGCCGTGCTTCCCTGCAGCATTTCAGGGCTCCTCCTTCCTAAACTGACCTGAGCTAACTTGCCCTCCCTTCGTGATCCCCTCGAGGTCATTTCCAGCTCAGGATCCACATGTGCTACTGCTGTGTCCCTCTTAGATCATTTTGTACTAGATAAAAAGCAACCTTTCTTCAAAGAGGAGACTTAATTCCAGCCACAGTATTCTATACATTCACTAAACTTTTGTTTTAAAGAAGACTATATCAAGACTTGAAAATACTCAATTATCCTACCATGCTCTTGCTGGCACTGACTCCAGCACTGGGACAGCGCATCCTTGGGAGCAGCAGGTGGGGGTTCTGACCCTCTCCAACCCAGCTGCACAGAAGATTCCAGCAGAGATGAGTACCAGGACAACACCCAAGTTTTTCCTTCAATTCTTTTTTGAGATGGAGTCTTGCTCTGTCACCTGAACTAGAGTGCAGTGTCATGATCTCCGCTCCCTACAACCTCTGCCTCCCTGAGTCATTGGGACTGTAGGCACATGCCACCACACATGGCTACTTTTTGTATTTTTAAAGACCAGGTTTCACCATACTGGCCAGGCCGGTCTCGAACTCCTGACCTCGTGATCCACCCGCCTCAGCCTCCCAAAGTGTTAGGATTACAGGTGTGAGCCACTGTGCCTCAACTTTCCTTCAGTTATTTGGTGCTGTGTCTTGGGTGTGTGCTGAACTGCAGCATATGAAAGGCTTGTGGTGATAATCTCATTAAATATAATGTCTATTTTCTGCTTTTGACCAGGAGCTGAGAAAATAATCCAGCACTGCAGACAAAATCCTGACCTCTCAATGTCTGTTTCCCACTCCTGACCACACCAAAGTCCACTGTAAAATGTTGCTATTCCTTCACTGAGTTATGTGATGTTTGGGACAATCCTATGAGAGAGACAGTGTTTGGGATTTCTAAAGGCTATCAAACTTCCATATGCACACCTAGGTGCTAAAACTCTCACATAACGACAAATTATACCAGAACTATGTGATTACTTCCGAGTAGTAGTGGTGGCATCAACCTTCCTCCCGCTCCTGAGTTCATCTCTGCCTCTTCCACTGAAGGGATAAAGAGATTGGCAATCTCCTCTCTGCAGTATCTCCATGTGATTAATGGAGATATTAAACTTACCTCCAGCTACAGATGTGGTGGAGGATAAATGGGCTGATTTATATAAGGTGTTCAGTGGTGATGAAATCTTTATTTACAACATTCACCTTTGTGTTGAGCTCTGCACATGGTAACACGCTTTCTGGACAAATGTACACAAACTCCCAAAGATATTCACGATCACTATAAACAGACTCTTACCTTATAACCCCCACCTTGAGGCATCCCATTCTATTTCACAAAAATGACACTATGGCTAACAGGAACTATGGAGGAGAGCCACCACTCTTCAGTACACTCTTAATTTCTGCCCAAATCTTGTTTTCCAAAAAGAAGCTCCAATGACAGTGCCTCATTAGACAAAGCAGGCAAGAAAGTGTCACTTTCTCAACACTAAGATTTTTCCCAAGCAGAATGATCCCAGAATACGTACTCGTCCATTCGGAAAGTGATGAAGATGACTCCTCCTGCATTAAGAGAAAGAAAAACACTGAGGGTAAGATTATGCTGTGTCCTGTGTACACAGGTCTTTTTCCTAACTGTTCCTAACAGGCGCTGTTGGAAAACCAGATGGAAAATTGTGGTGGTGGCTACAGCCCCAAACATAAAGCCTAGAAAACACTTGCAGAAAGGCACCAGCTTTTTGGGCAGGATTTTAAAGCTTATTTTGGTTCTAAATTCATAATTTTCAAGAAACATTTTCTCCTGAGGAAAATGCTTGCTGACATAGTTTATATGAATTCTCATTTTACATTTTCCTACCTAGAAATTCACTAAGTCATCTATAATGTACATGTTAAGATTCTCAAATCTTTATTCAAGTACAATAAAAAGAAACATAGGAAGATAAATAAAATTTAACTTCCAGACAAAGGAAGAACTTACTGTAATAACCGAGAGGGATCCCTGAGAGGGTTCCATATGGGGACATGGTGCAGGGTACTCTTGTTGATCTAGGAGACATAGGGCAAGTGTCACCACACGGATTCTACTGAGGAAATCCCTTGCGTTGTATTGGGGGGTGTGGACAGGAGGCTGGCTTATGGAGGTGAGTTACAGCAGACGGAGCTGTAGACCCACCCTCCTCATCTCACTCTGTTGCTCAGGCTGGACTGGTGTGGCATGATCTAGGCTCACTGCAACCTCCACCTCCCAGGATGAAGTGATTCTCCTGCCACAGTCTCTCAACTAGCTGGGATGACTGACACCCACCACCATGTGCAGTTAATTTTCTTGTTGTTAGACACAGTGTTTTGCCATGATGGCCAGGCTGGTCTCAAACACCTGACCTCAAGTAATTAACCCACCTCGGCCTTCCAACGTGCTAGGATTACAGGCATGAGCCACCGCACCCAGCCTGGTCTCTGCTTTTAAACAGGAGCTGAGGAATAACCCAATCACAGCAGCTCCTAACCTCTCCCTGTGTGTTTCACATTTCTAACCACAGGAAAGTCCACTGTAAAAGTTACCTATTCTAATCCTGGGTTATGTGACCATTAAGACCATCCCATAATGATAGAGAGTGCTTAGAATTTCTATAGGCTATTGTACTTCCACATGCACACCATGGTTCTCAAAGTCACTGCTAGGGTGATGAGTTATACAAGGGCTGTGTGATCAATGCAGTATAATAGCCCACAGCATCACCTCCCACCCATTCCTGACTTTGCACTTCCCTCCTCTATTTAGAAGGCCATGAGTTTGGGAAATTTATCTCTGTACAAACTGTATCTGAGGAGTGCATACATTAAACTTACCTTAAGCTACAGCTGTGGTGGAGAATGAATGGGTTGATGTATTTAAAGTGTACGTACATCAACTATTTGAAAAATTAATACTAGTGTTGTACTTTGAACATGCATAAAAATTCACAGGGACCTTCACACCCACTGCACATAGACTCTCTACTCCATACCTCCCAAACCTGATGCACACCACCCTCTTTCATGTAAGCAACACAACTTCATGAAAGCACTACAGAAAGACGGTACTATTCCCTACCAAACTCTGAATGATTTTTATACAAAACTGCCTAAAACCTCTTTTCTGTTAGGAAGGTTAAACCAGAGAAATTCTGTAACAAAAGCAGGGTAAAAAGTGTAATCATTCTGAAAAACTAAGGTATTTCCTTAGCAAAAAAGTAATCCCTGGGAGTGAAGGCAAGAGGGAAAAGATCATTAGTACAAATACCTAGTGCATGCGAGGCTTAACACCTCAATGATGGGTTGATAGGTGCAACAAACAACCATGACACGTTTACACTTACGTAATAAACCAGCTCCTTCCACACATGCATCTCAGAACTTAAAATAAAATTGAAACACACACACACACACACACACACACACACACACACACATAGACGCACACACAGAAGGTAGGATACAGTGGCTAATGACTGTAATCCCAGCACATTGATATGATACTTACCAGCTTGCTGCAGTCCTGTAGCCTCCTGTAATTACAGAAAATAAACTGCTATGAGCACCAGACCATGCTGTTCCCTGACCTTCCTGCACTTGGTAACATTAAAAAACAAGATGGAAACAAGGGTTCAATCAAAGAAGCCCACAGGAAGAAGCGAGCACATCGACTATGCTAAAGACAACGTTTTTCTTGGATGATGTTTCCTTCCAACCATGTTGTTTGGCCATTATGTGCTTTTAGTCCCCAAAAGAAAACAAACCTGCCAAGGCAAAAAAACTTGTGACCACAGAGTGTGTGGTTAATGCTGTCATTTTCTCCCACTGTCTTGAATTGAGTCTCACTCAAGAAGAGACTCTCGTTCAAAACTCCCCCAGCCAAGGAAATTCTGTAAGTCACCTACAATTTATATGGAAAAATTCTCCTATCTTATATAACATTTTCTGATGTTGATTCAAAAAAATAAAGTCAAGAAAGCAATAGTTTAACTCAGACACAGCCTGTGGCCTGCATATCCCATTGTACCTTGACCCATGCAGCATCAACGGAAGGGTCCTCCTGCTGAAGATCAGGCCCTAGAAGGATGCAAAGTGACTGTCAATACCTGGTGGCATTGCTCATTAACAACTCAGGGGCATGCTACGATGTGAGTAAAGGGGGAGAATGGCAGGAAAAGGACAGGAGCGGAAAAGAAAGGGAATCAGGGCCTTTGGGTTTATAGCTCCAGGCCACCTGGAATAGTCCATCTCAAACATGGCACCCCACACAGGGCAGGTTATGTTTCCCCGCAGGTGCTCAGGGTTCCTCCTTTCTAATCTGAGCTCAGCCATCTTGCCCTCCCTTCTTCACCCCTTCCAAAGTCATTTCCTCCCACAGTTCACAAGTAGTGCTACCCTGACTATGACCCCATCTACAAGATTTTCTACATGATAAGGAACAAGCTTGACTCAGATAAAATATTACATTCTGGCCAACATATGCTGTTGTATTTATTTATTTTACCTTTCTAACACTTTTTACTTTAAGAGATAACAGTGCTATTGTATTTATTAACCCTTAGTAAAAATTTAAACCAAAATATGAAAATACTCAGTGATCCTATCACTTGAAGATAACCGCTGCTTAGCATATGGTATTTCTCTTTCCACTCTTTATTTTCATCACCTCATGTGTGTTAAATGGGGTCCACAGCTGATCATACACTGGCTCCAAGGCTCTCCCAGTCCTGGGAGAAGGTGAGTGGCCGAAGGTGCGATGTTGATCCTCTCTAACCAAGCTGTGCAGAACAATCTAGCTACACAAGGACCACCTGTCAGGCTACTGCCAGAAGCTATTCACTGTGCCACGAAAGGGAGATCAAGCTGGGTAACTACCCTCAAGTGTCTGGCCTAACCCTCAAGTTCATCCCTGCTGATCATGTCCTCTCTGGGCTAAGTTGAACATTTCAGGAGCCCACTCCTGTTCACTGTCTCTCACTAGTTTCTGTTGGAGCCCCTGCCATCAACACAAAGAAACATGGAGAAGACAAGAAACAAAGTAGCTCCTCTAAAAAAGCTCCTAGAAAAACGGCTACCATTCAGGCCAGCCATGAAGTCGTAGCTAAAGTCTACCTTTAGATGAGGCTGGAACATTCCAGAGATGCCCAGGTAATAGGGTACAACTCACTCTCCTGGTGTACACCTTGGCTTCCCCTCCACCTTCATGGCTTTGCTGCCCTCATGCCTTTCTTCTATTCCTCTAAATCATGTATCTTGGCAGGCCCTGGCCAAGGCCACGACCTGCTCTCTCATAGAGCCCACTGGGCAGCCGTCTATGAATTATACATCCACAATGTCGCTAATTCTGATCTCAACCTTTAATCACCCACAGCAGAAAGCCCACCGGGTACCAAACAACAATAACAATAACAAAACAACAACAAACAAAAGCTAAGGATATTCTCGGGATTAAAGAGGACTTAGGGGAATTGGGTTACAAGGAGATGGCATCTGAGGTTAACAGGAAACATTTGAAAATCACAAAAGCCTCAGTGCTTTTAATTGCGGGATAAGTACTGACATTGACACGGCAATAAAATTTGATTTATAGACAATAAGTCTCCACACAGCAGCCTTAATCTGCAGCTGAGGCCAGCAGTTGTCAGGCCCTCTCAGGGTTTGCCTGAGCTATGCAAAGACCAGTAGGGAAGGCACCCGGCAGTCCTGACACAGAGAACAAGCTGGGTCTGACTGGAGTGTGAGGAGCAGCTCAAGACTGTTGGGCCAGAGAGGAGAATGTGACAAGACAAGTGACCCCTATGCCAGCTGTCCAGCACTTCTGTCCTGGGCCCACTTTAGTCCAGGGACCAGGCTACAGGGAGAGTGAGAGCCACTGTCTACAGAAACACAGCAACCCCTCCACACATATCCCCTAGGATTCCTGCCAGCCACAGAGGGCCTTGAGCAAAAGCTGGCCTCGGGCCTCTCAAGTAAAAACCAAATCAGTTTTCATTCAAAGCCCAAGGATTTGGCATTGGATAAGACTGGGTGAGGAGTGGAGGCCAAAAATGTGCTCAGTCATGTGTTTCTGGGGCATACGTAGGAATCCCAGAGGAAAGATTCTCTCCAGGAAGCACCCTTAGAGCAGGAGCAGGCAGTGAGGACAGTACAGGAAGGTGTTGGTGCGGGTCCCGAGAATGTAGAGAAAGAGAGTGCACTCCCTTCACCTGGCACATGTATGAGCGACTTTGTCTTCAGAATCACATAGCGCCTGTGAGGGGCTGTGTTCCACCCCACACTCAACTTTACACCTGCATACTAATCTTCTGTTTTCTATTCACAGAGCCCATGAGAACAAAACTCTTACGACTTTCTCATTAAGATACAAAACAAGCCAAGTGAGAATTCTACACCTATTTTCCTTTGATGTTTATTAACTTCAGAGATCCCATCCTAGGCTCCAAAACAAGGATTGTCTCTCACTGTTGTACCACAATTGTACGCAAGAATTGTCTCTCACTCTTCAACCCCGGAGTGTTGGTCCCGCCCTGATCAGTCTATTTCCTCCTGGATAGATTCATGAGCCCATGTACACACACACAAACAGCACTGCTGCTCTGTCCACTGTGATTCTCCCTGGGCTCTGTGACCTTGGGGGCCTTTATGAAAGCACTGCTCACAGTTGTGAGCCTTTAGATGAGACACAGGACATGAAATAATCTCCTTCAACTGTTCACTGAAACTGGCTCATAGCATCTCTTACTTTCAGTCTGAGAACCCTGAGATTCCACCCTTGATGCACGTGCACTCAATTAGGTGAGTGCAGCAAACAGAACCTGGGCCAGACTCACAGCAGCTGCTTCCCAAATGATTCTGGGAGAATGGCGATGCTCTCTTAAGAGTACACTTTTGGCAACTGGGCATTGTAGCATGGCTCTTGTGAGGTTACAAATTTTTTTCATTTATTTAAATATGAATGAGTACATATGCCACTGAGGACCACACTGGAACGCCAGGTCTAAACACAAAGATGAGGAAGATGTGACTCTCCCCCCTGGTGATTCTGGCGGAGTGGTTGCTGCTCTGACCTGATCATTCACAGAGGGGTACTTCAAAGGCACATGAACAAGCTCCAGGACCCCTGTGTAGTGCAGGGAGGCCACAACAAAAATAAAAAAGCCTGGTCCACCGAAGGAGAACTCATAAACAGAAGAAAGAACATCTTCTGCAAGGAGAAAAACTGAACCAAAGTAGCCAGAATAGAGATGAGGAAGATACTTCATTGACTTCAGAGACAACCCTATTGTCCTGTAACCTTGGATCAGAACCCACTCAGGTTTCTTGATTACCATGAGAAACAACAGACTGCAGAAGATGAACAGGACACCTTTTCACACTCGTGCTGGATCTCAGCAAAAGGGTTGCAAGCATTGGAACATCACTGGAGGCCAAATGGGCTGCCCAGGCTGAGCTCCGGGATGAGAAGGCATCATGAGGACATAGTCCCAGCCCTCTCAGTGACTAGTCATGGCCAGGATTCATTCACACATGAGTGAAACAAAACAAAGTTTGGGACTAATAATTCCAGGACTATCTCAGAGAAACAGGCAAAATGATATCTTATAGGTCACACAGGAGAGCTGCAAGGACCATGTGGACTCCGGAGCAGCACCTCTCCCTTTGCTGAGCTCACCCTGCACTGAAGCAGGGTCCCTCCTCACCTCCCCTGCAACTAGTGTGGGCAGGTGCCCTGCCTGAAAGCTGACACTCCCTCCAGTCACACAGGATTCTGGGCCAAACCACACGTGGCCAACAGCAACTACACAGGGACCAGCTGTCAGGTGACTCCCAGAAGCAGGTGAAAAGTAAGAGCTGCTCTCTGTCCCAGCCACAGGGAGACCAGGCCTGGGAACTATGCTGTGTCTGGCCTGACCGTGAAGTCCATCGCTGCTGATCATATCCTCTCTGGGCCAAGTCAGATGTTTCAGGAACTCACTCCTGTTCTCTGCCTCTCATTAATTTCTGTTGGTGCCACTGCCATCAACATACAGGAAAATAGAGAAGACGAGAAAAAAGAACGTAGCACCTCTGTCCAGGGTCTTAGGAAGACCGCCAGAAAGTGCTAAATCCAGCTCTGAAGTCAAAGTGCAACTCATTCTCCCTGTGTCAAAATGTGAACATCCCAGTTGTGCCCAGGTGATGATGTAGAACTGATGCATATCATCAAGAAAAAGGCACAAATTACGAACATATTCAACCACATTATGCAAGTGCTGAGATATTTCATGACCACCAGGCCTGCCTTTCAAGAGCTCCTGAAGGAAGCACTGAACATGGAAAGAAACAACCAGTGCCAGTGACTGCAAAAACATACCAAATGGTAAAGACCATCGACACAATGAAAACACTGCATCAACTGACGAGCCAAAGAAACAGTTAGCCTCAGAATGGCAGGATCAAATTCACACATAACGTTAACCTTCAATGTAAATGGGCTAAATGCCCCAATCGAAAGACAAAGACTAGCAAGTTGGATCAGAGTCAAGACCCATTAATGTGCTATATTCAGGAGACCCATCTCACATGCAAAAACACACATAGGCTCAAAATGGAGAGATAGAGGAAGACTTACCAAGCAAATGAATTAAAACAGGGGTTGCAAACCTAGTCTCTGATAAAACAGACTTTTAAGAGACCTTAATGGTAAAGGGATCAATGCAACAAGTAGAGCTAACAATCCTAAGTATATATATATATATATACCCAACACAGGAGCACCCAGACACATAAAGCAAGTTCTTCATGTCCTACAAAGAAGCTTAGACTCCCACACAACAACAGTGGGAGACTTAAACACTCCACTGTCAATATTAGACAGCTCAACGAGACAGAAAATTAACAAGGATATCCAGCACTTGAACTCAGATCTGGACCAAGCAGACCTAATAGAAATCTACACAACTATCCACCCCAAATCCACAGAATATACATTCTTCTCAGCAGCATATCACACCTACTCTAAAATTCACCACGTATTTCGATGCAAAAGAATGGAAATCATAACAATCAGTCTCTCAGACCACAAAGCAATCAAATTAGAACTGAGGATTAAGAAATCACTCAAAACCACACATCATGGAAACTGAAAAACCTGCTCCCGAATTACTGGATAAATAAGGACATGAAGGCAAAAATAAAGATGTTCTTTGAAGTCAGTGAGAACAAAGACACAATATACCAGAATCTCTGGGACACATTTAAAGCAGTGTCTAGAGGTGGATGTGGGAGAAGAGTAGCAGCCACAGGAGCGGAATAGCCAAGAAAGGGAATCAGGGCTTTTGGTTTCTAGCTCCAGGCCACGTCGTAACTATGAACTAGCCAATCTCAAACAGCACACCACACAGTGCAGGCTGTGTGTCCCTGGCCCCCTCGTAGGGCTCCTCTTTCCTAATCTCATCTGAGCTCACTTGTCCTCTTATTGATTCCTGCCAATGTCATCTCCTCCTTAGAATCTGTATGTGCTGCTGTCTGTATATCATCTCCTCTAGAAGATTTTGTACTGAATAAGAAGCAACCTTTCTTGAAAGAGGAGATTTAATTCTAGCCAAAAGGTTTTATTAACTAACTTTTTGTTATTAGGCAATTAAAACAAGACTTGAAAACACTCAATTATCCTATGATTTAAAGATGACCCCTACTTAGCATGTGATTATTTGTACTTCCACTTTTCCTTTTCAACACAATGTGTGCGCACCATGGAGGTCACTGCTGCACACTGACTCCAGCATCGAGACGGCCCGTCATGCGAGCGGTGCAGAGGAGGGGCACTGATCCCCTCCAACCCAGCTCTGCGTGTGATTCCAGCTGGGAAAATGGGGCCAGGCTAACACCCAACTTGATCCTTAAGGTTCTAAAAGATACTATGTCCTGGCATTGGGTTCTACTGAGTTTCAAATGCTTGTGGTCATTATCTTTTTAAATGTGATAGAATATGTCACTATTGGTTCTCAGATTTTGAACATAAGGTGAGGAATGACTCCACCACTGTAGACCAAAAGCCTGTGAACTCTGTATGTTTTACATTAACGATGACACTAAAACCCACTGTGCAATGTACCTACTCAAACAAACCCTGGGAAAGTTGACCATTCAGACCATCCAATGATGACAGTATCGGGGATCTGAATAGGTTTTCATTCTTCCACACGCACACAGAAGTGCTGGAACAACTTGGCATAGTGAGGAGCTATGCTAGGGCACACCACAGCTGACTGTACGATATACCTACTCCAACACCGGGTTATGCAACCACTGAGAATATCTAACAACAATAGACAGTGTTTGGGGCTTTCATACATTTTCAGGCTTTCACGTGCACCCAGAGATGCTAGGACTCCCTGGCATAGTCACGAATCATACCAGGGCATTGTGATGCTTCCAGTGCAGTAGAACATAGCACCATCTTTTTCCCCACTCCTGAGCTCCCAATTACCTGTTCCATTGAGGAGACAAGACCATAAAATGTTCACCACTGCCTCATCTCTGAGGATGGGAATATACAACTAACCTTCACATTCAGCTGTGGTAGAGGATGAAGCGACTTATTTATGAAAGTGCAGTGGTGATAAAACTTGTTTTTAGAATGTTAATCTTTGTGTTGTGCATTGCACATGTTTTCTGGGTCAGAGCACACACACTTTCAAACATATCCACAGTCAGTCCATGGAGACTCTCTCCCTTATACCTCCTGATCCTGATGCACACCATCATATTCTATCTGAATGATGCTGCTGCTTCCAGAAACTAGAGATCACCTCAAGTTCTATAATGGACTCTCCATCGTTCTTACACCAACCTGCTCAAACCTCATTTCCAGCAGGAAGCTCCAACCAGAGTTGTTTTCCAGCACATGTAGACTAGAAAGTACCACCTTTGTCAACACTAAGATTTTTCCTTACCAAAGGGGTGATCCCAGAATACATACCGTCATCCAATAAAGTTGAGTATCCCTGCATTTAGGAAAAAAAGCAAAAACAAAACACCATGAGGGTCAGGCATGTTGTGTCTTCTGTGCACAGCTTTTGTCTTCACTTGGGGACATTACAAAACCAGGTGAGAAATACTGGTAGAGGCAATAGCCCCAATGCCTAGAAGATGTCTGTGGAAAGGCACGATGTTTTCATCCATGATGCCATGATGTTTCCACTTTATTTTTCTCAAATTCACTTTTTTAAAAAAACAGTATTTATCCTGAAAAAATATACTTCCTACCACACAGTTCCTAAAGAGCTGTTAAATTATGGATGCCATCTTGAATCATACTTAGTTGGGGAAAAAAACTCACTTTGCATTATCCCACAAAGAAACGGTCATCTATAATGTACAGTGTAAGATTTCCATATTCTAATTAAAATGAACAACAAAATACCCATTTCAAAGAAAGACTTTACCTTGTGAATGGCTATAACTTCTTCTGACGAATCTATCCCAGGCAAGATTACTGCTGGAACAAATTCTCCTGTATGCAGAAAACAGAGTAACAATCAACACATTGTTTCCACCGAAGGAGCCACTCTGGTGGCCTTGGGTGCTGTGAAGAGGGTGCTGGCAGGTGTTGACAAGCCGGGTTAACAGCACAGGCTGAGCTGCTGCTGACCCATCCCGCTTGGTGGTAAAGGCAGGCAAATGGGGTCATGAGAAGAGCTATGGACAATGAGGCCTTGGTCCTCTAGCTAAAGCAAGCTCCTCAATGTGAGACAGCCCATCTCAAGCAGGGCGCACCACACACGGCAGGCCGTGCTTCCCTGCAGCATTTCAGGGCTCCTCCTTCCTAAACTGACCTGAGCTAACTTGCCCTCCCTTCGTGATCCCCTCGAGGTCATTTCCTGCTCAGGATCCACATGTGCTACTGCTGTGTCCCTCTTAGATCATTTTGTACTAGATAAAAAGCAACCTTTCTTCAAAGAGGAGACTTAATTCCAGCCACAGTATTCTATACATTCACTAAACTTTTGTTTTAAAGAAGACTATATCAAGACTTGAAAATACTCAATTATCCTACCATGCTCTTGCTGGCACTGACTCCAGCACTGGGACAGCGCATCCTTGGGAGCAGCAGGTGGGGGTTCTGACCCTCTCCAACCCAGCTGCACAGAAGATTCCAGCAGAGATGAGTACCAGGACAACACCCAAGTTTTTCCTTCAATTCTTTTTTGAGATGGAGTCTTGCTCTGTCACCTGAACTAGAGTGCAGTGTCATGATCTCCGCTCCCTACAACCTCTGCCTCCCTGAGTCATTGGGACTGCAGGCACATGTCACCACACATGGCTACTTTTTGTATTTTTAAAGACCAGGTTTCACCATACTGGCCAGGCCGGTCTCGAACTCCTGACCTCGTGATCCACCCGCCTCAGCCTCCCAAAGTGTTAGGATTACAGGTGTGAGCCACTGTGCCTCGACTTTCCTTCAGTTATTTGGTGCTGTGTCTTGGGTGTGTGCTGAACTGCAGCATATGAAAGGCTTGTGGCGATAATCTCATTAAATATAATGTCTATTTTCTGCTTTTGACCAGGAGCTGAGAAAATAATCCAGCACTGCAGACAAAATCCTGACCTCTCAATGTCTGTTTCCCACTCCTGACCACACCAAAGTCCACTGTAAAATGTTGCTATTCCTTCACTGAGTTATGTGATGTTTGGGACAATCCTATGAGAGAGACAGTGTTTGGGATTTCTAAAGGCTATCAAACTTCCATATGCACACCTAGGTGCTAAAACTCTCACATAACGACAAATTATACCAGAACTATGTGATTACTTCCGAGTAGTAGTGGTGGCATCAACCTTCCTCCCGCTCCTGAGTTCATCTCTGCCTCTTCCACTGAAGGGATAAAGAGATTGGCAATCTCCTCTCTGCAGTATCTCCATGTGATTAATGGAGATATTAAACTTACCTCCAGCTACAGATGTGGTGGAGGATAAATGGGCTCATTTACATAAGGTGTTCAGTGGTGATGAAATCTTTATTTACAACATTCACCTTTGTGTTGAGCTCTGCACATGGAAACACGCTTTCTGGAGAAATGTACACAAACTCCTAAAGACATTCACGATCACTATAAACAGACTCTCACCTTATAACCCCCACCTTGAGGCATCCCATTCTATTTCACAAAAATGACACTATGGCTAACAGGAACTATGGAGGAGAGCCACCACTCTTCAGTACACTCTTAATTTCTGCCCAAATCTTGTTTTCCAAAAAGAAGCTCCAATGACAGTGCCTCATTAGACAAAGCAGGCAAGAAAGTGTCACTTTCTCAACACTAAGATTTTTCCCAAGCAGAATGATCCCAGAATACGTACTCATCCATTCGGAAAGTGATGAAGATGACTCCTCCTGCATTAAGAGAAAGAAAAACACTGAGGGTAAGATTATGCTGTGTCCTGTGTACACAGGTCTTTTTCCTAACTGTTCCTAACAGGCGCTGTTGGAAAACCAGATGGAAAATTGTGATGGTGGCTACAGCCCCAAACACAAAGCCTAGAAAACACTTGCAGAAAGGAACCAGCTTTTTGGGCAGGATTTTAAAGCTTGTTTTGGTTGCAAATTCATAATTTTCAAGAAAGATTTTCTCCTGAGGAAAATGCTTACTGACATAATTTATATGAATTCTCATTTTACATTTTCCTACCTAGAAATTCACTAAGTCATCTATAATGTACATGGTAAGATTCTCAAATCTTTATTCAAGTACAATAAAAAGAAACATAGGAAGATAAATAAAATTTAACTTCCAGACAAAGGAAGAACTTACTGTGATAACCGAGAGGGATGCCTGAAAGGGTTTCATATGGGGACATGCTGCAGGGTACTCTTGTTGATCTAGGAGACATAGGGCAAGTGTCACCACACGGATTCTACTGAGGAAATCCCTTGCGTTGTATTCGGGTGTGTGGACAGGAGGCTGGCTTATGGAGGTGAGTTACAGCAGACGGAGCTGTAGACCCACCCTCCTCATCTCACTCTGTTGCTCAGGCTGGACTGGTGTGGCGTGATCTAGGCTCACTGCAACCTCCACCTCCCAGGATGAAGTGATTCTCCTGCCACAGTCTCTCAACTAGCTGGGATGACTGACACCCACCACCATGTGCAGTTAATTTTCTTGTTGTTAGACACAGTGTTTCGCCATGATGGCCAGGCTGGTCTCAAACACCTGACCTCAAGTAATTAACCCACCTGGGCCTTCCAAAGTGCTAGGATTACAGGCATGAGCCACCGCACCCAGCCTGGTCTCTGCTTTTAAACAGGAGCTGAGGAATAACCCAATCACAGCAGCTCGTAACCTCTCCGTGTGTGTTTCACATTTCTAACCACAGGAAAGTCCACTGTAAAAGTTACCTATTCTAATCCTGGGTTATGTGACCATTAAGACCATCCCATAATGATAGAGAGTGCTTAGAATTTCTATAGGCTATTGTACTTCCACATGCACACCTAGGTTCTCAAAGTCACTGCTAGGGTGATGAGTTATACAAGGGCTGTGTGATCAATGCAGTATAATAGCCCACAGCATCAACCTTCCACCCATTCCTGATTTTGCACTTTCCTCCTCTATTTAGAAGGCCATGAGTTTGGGAAATTTATCTCTGTACAAACTGTATCTGAGGAGTGGATACATTAAACTTACCTTAAGCTACAGCAGCGTCCTAGCATGGGGGCACCCGTAAGTATTGGAGATATGGAATAGAGAGCCCAATATTCAATGCATGCATACACAGTCAACTGATCTTCGACAAAGGTGCCGAGAATGCACAATGGGAAAAGGAAGGCCTCTTTAACAAACGATGGTAACACTCCATATTCTCATTTAAATAACAAAATTTACCAGTGTGCTCAAGGGTGTGCTTCTTTGTCCATTGACAAGACACTAGAGCTTTGCAATGACCCCAGAGCAAATCTTCATCCTGTCCCCATGCCCAGAGAGAGCCCTTGAGATCAGGAGTAAACAGCAAGGACAGACAAATGAATGTGCTGCCATGAAACCTAACGGTTCACAAGGTGAGGATCAGTTTCTCCTAAGCATCTGGGCACACTGTGGAAGACTTGTTGTCTTCAGGATTAAGTAACTGCCATGACAGAACTGTGTCCCAAACCAAAGGCTTTAACATTTTGTAGTGGCAGAGGCAGAAAAGAGGTATCCTCAGAAAGACCATCTTTAAATAATAAAGCAAGAACAAGGTACACAAAAAAAAGAAGAAAAAGAAGAGGTGATCACAGACAGGGGACTCACACTTCTCACCACTATGACATTAAACTCTGACAAGAACAAACTTCAGCCACGTTTTCTTTTTCTTCTCTTTCTACATACTCGTTCACCCTCCCAAGCAGTAGGCAGAAGCTGTAGGCTCCTGGGAACCTGCTTTATTAGATTCCACCTGTAATCTTGTTGCCTACCTGGAAAGATGTCTTCTTCACTGTTGAGATTTTCCAGAATCCACTCTTTAGAACCATCAACAGCAGAGTAAGTCAGAGAGAGGTGCACTCACTTCTACTCCAGGTGAAGCCACGTCGGCTCACGTAACATCCCCTGGCTGGTCCTCTGGGTTCACATGCATTCATACAGTCCCTCTGATCATAGTTATACACTTGCAAAATTATTTGCTCTCACTAAACCCCCAATATTCTTTAACCAGAACCCAGAATCAGGTTTCTATATATTAAAACCAGCAAGTTTGTTCCACAGCAAGTGAGCTACTTCAGGGTACATACCATAAACAGCGAGTGATGAACTCTGCAATTAGACAAAAGAAGACACTATGAGGATCAGATTAATTCTTCTGCACCCCCGCCCCCACCCCCACAGATCTGTCAGTCTCTTGATGACTTCAGGAAACTAGTTGTAAGACAATGTTTAAGTCAAAGGCCAAGAATCAAACATGCTAGAATAGAGGACACCTGTGGAAAAGACAAGACCTTTTCCCACAGAATTTATCTAGAAGTTGATTTACACTGGCAAATACACAATGCCTAAAGAAAAGAGGAAAACTGGTGTTGAGGAAAATTCCTCTGCGTTACAGTTGATAATGAATGCTGTCATCTAAGAACATTCTAATATATCAGGTATCCGATGGGAAGACACTCCCATTGAATTCCAACCCCAAAAAGAGAATTGGACATGTCAGACATAATGTGTCTTCTCAGATTATCACAATTAACAGAAGGAAAGAAATCAGAAAAGAAACAATTCTTTTTTCATTTTCTTTTGAAGTTTAGGTTCCAGAATGCATGTGCAGGACTGTGCAGGTTTATTACACAGGTAAACATGTGCTATGGTGCTTTGCTGCATCTATCAACCCATCACCTAGGTTTAAGCCCTTCGTCCATTAGCTATTTATCCTGATGCTCTCCCTCCCCAATCCCCACCTGACAGAGCATTCTTTAGAGGACAGAAAAAGGGGTTCTTACCTCGCCATCATCCTCAGTAGTGATGCTCCTGCAATCCTCAGGAGGAGCTGGAGGGAGACAGAGTAACAGTCAGTACCCTGGTGGCTAAAGACTGTGAGTAACTCAGGGAGCTTTGCTGGGTGTGGCATATGGAGTGTGGGACTGAAGATTCTGAGAACATCTCAGAGTAACAACTATGTTCAAATAGTACAGTGAGGGAGTCTCACCAGATATCTTTCATCTTAGACAATGCCAAGACCTAATAATACTCTCGCATTCCCAATTCCCAAAAGATATTAACCAATCAAAAAGCAAGGCTTAGATGTTTGCTGTGACATAGGCATATAAAACTAGTCTCCTGGGAAAGGTAATTATTAAATACCAGAGCAAGAAACGATGGTTACAAAAGCAGCCCACAAAGCCCATGGACACACATCCTCTCATCTCTATCTTATTGAAATACAACAGAAATAAGTCAGACCTCTACAGCTATTTTTTTTTTGTTCTGGCTTCATAGCCCCCTTCCTAGGTTCCAAAGCAACAGGTGTAACCCAACTGCTCCCAGAAATACTCCTAGGGTATCATTTTTGTTTTTTTTGTTTGTTTGAGACAGAGTCTTGCTTACCAGGCACCAGGCTGGAATACAGTGGTGAAATCTCAGCTGACTGCAACATCTACCTCCTGGTTTCAAGCAATTCTCCTGCCTCAGCCTCCTGAGTAGCTGGGACTACAGGCACGCACCACCACGCCCAGCTTATTTTTGTAGTTTTAGTAGAGACGGAGTTTCACCATGTTGCCCAGGATGGTCTTGATCTCTGGACCTCGTGATCCACCCACTACAGCCTCCCAATGTGCTGGGATTAATGGCCTGAGCCACTGCACCCAGCCTAGGGTATCATTTTCTACCTGCAGAAATTGTCCTACTGAAGCTTCCCTCATGGATGGTGTCCACTGGCCAATCTTTAGAGACACAAATCTCAGCAAGAAGTTATTTCAGAGAGTGACTGACCCACCCTCCTACTCCAGGTGAGGTCACATTGGATTACACGAGATAACTCTAAGCTTTCCTCTGTGTTCTCAGACTCTCTCTAAGCTCTGTGGAGCCAGAAGTCTTCAACAAGGCATTGCTTATACTTTCCAGCCTTCAAGTAAGAAAGAGAAGCTGAAGGAATCACCTTTCCATTTTTCCTTGCACTGGCCCATTATGGGTCTCACCTCCAATCCCACAACCCTGAGATCCCAACTTTGATGTGCACGCTTTGAGTGCCATGAGTCCAACAATCAGACCCTGGGCCAGGCTCACAGCAGACATGCAAGACAGCATTCTGTGGGGATGGAAATGCTCTCTCATGTACAGCTGCTGGGCCATTTCATGGTGGCTGTCATGATGAGGTTTTGAATATTTCATTGTACATATTTATTTAACTATAAAGAGGCACGTATATGACTGAGAAGCACACTAGATGGGACAGCTCCAGAGATCCAGACATGAGGAAGACCTGACTCCACTCTCCTGTTTTTTGCAAAATTGTTTGTTGCTCTGATTCTACCACACATTTACGGTTACTTCCTGGGCATATGCACAAGGGCCCGTCACTGTGGAACTAAGGATATGACAGTGAGGACAACATCCAGGTCCAGAGGGATTCCAGCAGGGATGTGCTTGCACCCAGTGGAAGAGCGTGGCCCTGCACACCCTGTCTAGACTAGATCAGAGCAGCAGGAGCACAGGGGTGGGGGTGTCTCACTGTCCTCAGGAGCTCACCCTCATCTCCATAAACCCTGACTCAGAAGCTGGGCAGCCTCCAGGATGAGTGTGTGGCTCAACAAACTGGACAGGCTGAGAAGAAAACCTTTCCACACCTGCACTAGATCCCAGCCCTGGGGGGACCTAGAGCTCATCCCAGGGGTGTGTTCATTAAAACATCCATGGAGCCTAAAGTGTCCATCCCAGGACTGAGCTCTGTGGTAAGGACAAATGAAGAAGATACAGTCACTGCCCTGCTAGTTAAATACCCATAGCAAGGGTTCCTCTATTCACCTGTTGGAAGACTCAGACTTTGAGGCCGAAGATTTTAAACCATCTCAAAAATAAGTGGAAACTGAGATGTTATGGACTGCACCGAAAAGTTGCAAGGATGACCTGGAGTCTGGAATCAGTCCCCAGCCCTTTGCTGAGATCACCCTACACTGGAACTCATGTCCTTCCCCACCTGCCCTGCTACTCTGGAGTGCTGCAGCTGCCCAGGGCAAGAGCTAGAAGACTCTGTCCAGTTAAAAAGCATTCCTGGGCCAGAAGACCCTCGGCAAACAGGGTCTACTGAAGACTCATTCCTCAGGAGATTTCCAGAAGAGGTAAAAAATAAAAACTTGTCTGTCTCAGCCCCAGGAAGATCAGGCCTGGGACCTCTCTGTGTCTGGTCTGACCCTGAGGTCCATTCCTACTGACTCGTGTCCTGCCTGTTCTGTGTCAGGAAAATGGGGGCCTGATTCCTCTTCTGCCCCTCTCTGCAATGAAACTCTGCTGGTATCATTGCCATCGTCGCACAAAGAGATGGAGAAGACATGGGTCATGAAGGAAGCTCATTTCTCAAGGTATTTAGGGTGAGGTTCACACCAAGCTTTTGACAGAGAGGAAGGCCAAGTCCTACTCACTCCTCCCCAGAAGGGATCTCATAACCTGCCTGGGCCCTGGTGATAACATTGAACCGATGCCCCTAACATTGCAACCTTGACCTTCTCTTTTAACAATGTCCCAAATGTCCTCATTGTTTCCCCTCTGATCCTCTAAATCATGTTCCCCTTCAGGTCTAGCATGAGGTTCTCCCTTGCTCTCTCCCATGGAGCCCGCTAAGCAGGTGTCCATGAATTCTGAGAACCTCAATGTTGGTAACACTGACATTTTCCTTCACTCACACACAGCAGCGCCCCTGCAGCACCAATGGGAAGCTTTGTCTAGAGATTACAGATGTCTAGGACAATCTGGTGATGAGAAAATCACTTCTGGGGTGAACAAGTGACATTGCACAATCAAACAGTTTCATTCTTTTCTTCCACTGGAAAAATACTGACACAGACAGGACAATCAAATTTTACTAAAAAGCAATGCATCTCCAGAGAATGAATGCTCCAAAAAAAAAAAAAAAAAACCCTCAAACCATCATGTGGTCCCCTTGACATTCATCATGACTTAAAGCACCTACCTTAGCTCTCTGTGTGTAAACGTTTTCAGAAGTAAACAAAAACTTATTTCAACAATAGCATCAATAGGGCATGATGGAGAATCTTTTGTCTCAGATCTGAGTTCTTCATGGAGACATCTGTTTCTCACAGCATGCCCTAGGATCCTCACACCTATTAGGAACCTGAAGCTAGGGAGGTTCTCCAGACAAAAGCAAGCAAGAAAATCCCCCCTGACTCATCACTTACATTTGCCATTAGGAAGAAAGTAATATTAGAATATATACAATGTTAGGGAGGGGAACAACACACACTGTGGGAAAAGAGGACAGGAGAGCATCAGAATAAAGAGCTAATGTATGTGAAGCTTAATACCTACATGATGGGTTGACAGGTGCAGCAAACCATGCCACACTTTTAGCTATGTAACAAAGCTGCACATCCTGCACATGTATCCCAAAAATTAAAATCAAATTTAAATTAAATAAGAAATTGCCAGAGAAGCAAGTCTAGAGAAACAGAAAGAAGCTTAGCAGCTGCCTAGGGCCAGGGGTGTGGGCCTGGAAAAAGAAGAAAAGTGACTACTAATGGCGACAGGGTTTCTCTGAGAGGGAATGAAAAGATTCTGAACTTAGATTGTGAAAATGGCTGCACAGCCCTGTAAATATAGTAAATACACTACATCACCCACTTTAAATAAGTGAATTGTTTTGCAAGTCAACTGTGTGACAATAAAGCAGTTTAAAAGAAAAAGAATACTTACAGAGGTCATTTAAGGCTGTCACAGTGACCTGCAACAAGAGAAAAACACAATACATCATAAGCATCCTATCATGCTGGGTGCTATTGGTGCAGATCTTTTCACATGGTGACATTAGAAAACCACATGTCACTGGTCCCCAAATTAAGCATAGAAGATGCTTCTGGAAAAGTAAAATGTTTTAAAAATTTATCAAGTGGCCATGTCAGCTAGCAAATACCAAATAATTTTTCAAAAATGATATGTTGCTACTGAGAAATATGCCACGACCAGATTAAGTTATGCTATCTTTTGACTGACATCGTGAATCAGGCCTCAGTTGATCATAATCTCCACTGACTGACTGCTAGAGTCCATGACAACTGAGATCTGATTCACAACGGCAGTCAGATATTCACTTGATATTCCAGAGGCCCCAGAAATAAAAATTTCTCTTCGAGACAAAGAAATGCATCTTACCACATCAGAGAGCAGCTCATCATCCTCGATGTCTTCCAAGATGAGGTCCTGTAGGACCTCAACAGGACCTAAGAGAACACAGAGTGACAGTCAGTGCATTGGTGCTGCTGAGGAATCTCACAAGGAGCTTTGGGAAATGTGGACTGGGCTGGAGTGCATGGAGCTGGGCGTGTGACAGGCATGGACCCAGCTGCTGCTGGACCATTCTCCTTGGTGCTGAAGGACGAAAAGGAGAGGGGCAGAAAGAAATGAAAGAGCCTGGCTTCCTAGCTAGGGTAACCTCATCAATGTGAAATCGTCATTTGAAGAACCGGTTAATACAGAAAGGCAGTGTACTATAGAAACAGGAAGTAGATTAGGGCTGCCTAGAACCAGGGGTGTGGGGGGTTGGGGAATACAGAGAAGTCACTACTAAGGGGGTTTTCTGAGAGGGAACCAAGAGCTACTAAAATTAGATTCTAACAATGGTTGCACAACCCTGTAAATATAGTAAAAACACTGAATCACCTACTTAAATGGGTGAATTGATTTGCATGTCAACTACATCTCGGTAACTGTTTACAAGAAAAAGAATACGTACGGCGGTGACACCAAGCCGCAGGCTTCTCCTGCAATAACAGAAAAGGAAACACCATGAGGATTACATCATGCTGGGTCCTGTTGGCACAGGTCTTGTATTCACTTGGTGACATTCAAAAACCAGATAGCAGGCTGGGCAGGAAGGCTCACACATGTAATCCCAGCATGTTGGGAGGCTGAGGTGGGCAGATCACGAGGGCAAGAGATTGAGCCCATCCTGGCCAACATGGTGAAACCCCGTCTCTACTAAAAACTACAAGAAACCTGGAATGGTGGTGGTGAGAACCTTAAGTCCCAGCTACTCAGAATGCTGAGGCAGAAGAATTGCTTGAATGCAATAGGAGGATACAGCAGTAATCTGAGATCATGCCACTGCACTGTAGCCTGGTGACAGAGAGACTCTGTCTCAAAAACAAAACTAAACTAAACAAAAAACCAGATGTCAAACAGTAATGAAGTCACAGGCCCCAAATGGAGCACAGGGGATGCTTGCAGAAAATGCAGTGGGTTTGGAATACCTAGCAAGTATCTATGCTGGCTGAAAAATACAAAATTATTTTCCAAGAAGAAAATGTGGCTACTGAGAAATATGCCCATGACCAGACTGTAAGTTATGCCATCTTTTGACTGACATCATCAATTAGGCCTCAGTTGGTCAGAATCTCCACTGACTGGCTGCTAGAGTCCATGACAACTGAGATCTGATTCACAACGGCAGTCAGATAAAAATGATATTCACTTGATATTCCAGAGGCCCCAGAAATAAAAATTTCTCTTCGAGACAAAGAAATGCATCTTACCACATCACGGGGCAGCTCATCATCCTCGATGTCTTCCAAGACGAGGTCCTGTAGGACCTCAACAGGACCTAAGAGAACACAGAGTGACAGTCAGTGCATTGGTGCTGCTGAGGAATCTCACAAGGAGCTTTGGGAAATGTGGACTGGGCTGGAGTGCATGGAGCTGGGCATGTGACAGGCATGGACCCAGCTGCTGCTGGACCATTCTCCTTGGTGCTGAAGGAAGGAAAAGGAGAGGGGCAGAAAGAAAGGAAAGAGCCTGGCTTCCTAGCTAGGGTAACCTCATCAATGTGAAATCGTCATTTGAAGAACCGGTTAATACAGAAAGGCAGTGTACTATAGAAACAGGAAGTAGATTAGGGCTGCCTAGAACCAGGGGTGTGGGGGGTTGGGGAAAACAGAGGAGTCACTACTAAGGGGGTTTTCTGAGAGGGAACCAAGAGCTTCTAAAATTAGATTCTAACAGTGGTTGCACAACCCTCTAAATATAGTAAAAACACTGAATCAGTTACTTTAAATGGGTGAATTGGTTTGCATGTCAACTACATCTCGGTAACTGTTTACAAGAAAAAGAATACGTACGGTGGTGATACTGGGCCGCAGGCTTCTCCTGCAATAACAGAAAAAGAAACACCATGAGGATTACATCATGCTGGGTCCCATTGGCACAGGTCTTGTATTCACTTAGTGACATTAAAAAACCAGATGGCAGGCTGGGCAGGGTGGCTCATGCATGTAATCCCAGCATGTTGGGAGGCTGAAGCGGGCAGATCATGAGGGCGAGAGATCGAACCCATCCTGGCCAACATGGCGAAACCCCGTCTTCTACTAAAAACTACAAGAAATCTGGCATGGTGGTGGTGAGAACCTTAAGTCCCAGCTACTCAGAAGGCTGAGGCAGGAGAATTGCTTGAATGCAATAGGAGGATACAGCAGTGATCTGAGATCATGCCACTGCACTGTAGCCTGGTTACAGAGAGACTGTCTCAAAAACAAAACTAAACTAAACAAAAAACCAGATGTCAAACAGTGATGAAGTCACAGGCCCCAAATGGAGCACAGGGGAATGCAGTGGGTTTGGAATACTTAGCGAGTATCTATGCTGGCTGAAAAATACAAAATTATTTTCCAAGAAGAAAATGTGGCTACTGAGAAATATGCCATGACCAGATTGTAAGTTATGCCATCTTTTGACTGACAGTGTCAATCAGGCCTCAGTTGGTCAGAATCTCCACTGACTGGCTGCTAGAGTCCATGACAACTGAGATCTGATTCACAACGGCAGTCAGATAAAAATGATATTCACTTGATATTCCAGAGGCCCCAGAAATAAAAATTTCTCTTCGAGACAAAGAAATGCATCTTACCACATCACGGGGCAGCTCATCATCCTCGATGTCTTCCAAGATGAGGTCCTGTAGGACCTCAACAGGACCTAAGAGAACACAGAGTGACAGTCAGTGCATTGGTGCTGCTGAGGAACCTCACAAGGAGCTTTGGGAAATGTGGACCGGGCTGGAGTGCATGGAGCTGGGCGTGTGACAGGCATGGACCCAGCTGCTGCTGGACCATTCTCCAGCTGGTGCTGAAGCAAGGAAAAGGAGAGGGGCAGAAAGAAATGAAAGAGCCTGGTTTCCTAGCTAGGGTAACCTCATCAATGTGAAATCGTCATTTGAAGAACCGGTTAATACAGAAAGGCAGTGTACTATAGAAACAGGAAGTAGATTAGGGCTGCCTAGAACCAGGGGTGTGAGGGGTTGGGGAAAACAGAGAAGTCACTACTAAGGGGGTTTTCTGAGAGGGAACCAAGATCTTCTAAAATTAGATTCTAACAATGGTTGCACAACCCCGTAAATATAGTAAAAACACTGAATCACCTACTTAAATGGGTGAATTGGTTTGCATGTCAACTACGTCTCGGTAACTGTTTACAAGAAAAAGAATACGTACGACGGTGACACCAAGCCGCAGGCTTCTCCTGCAATAACAGAAAAAGAAACACCATGAGGATTACATCATGCTGGGTCCTGTTGGCACAGGTCTTGTATTCACTTGGTGACATTAGAAAACCAGATAGCAGGCTGGGCAGGAAGGCTCACACATGTAATCCCAGCATGTTGGGAGGCTGAGGTGGGCAGATCATGAGGGCAAGAGATTGAGCCCATCCTGGCCAACATGGTGAAACCCCGTCTCTACTAAAAACTACAAGAAACCTGGAATGGTGGTGGTGAGAACCTTAAGTCCCAGCTACTCAGAAGGCTGAGGCAGAAGAATTGCTTGAATGCAATAGGAGGATACAGCAGTAATCTGAGATCATGCCACCGCACTGTAGCCTGGTGACAGAGAGACTCTGTCTCAAAAACAAAACTAAACAAAAAACCAGATGCCAAACAGTAATGAAGTCACAGGCCCCAAATGGAGCAGAGGGGATGCTTGCAGAAAATGCAGTGGGTTTGGAATACCTAGCAAGTATCTATGCTGGCTGAAAAATACAAAATTATTTTCCAAGAAGAAAATGTGGCTACTGAGAAATATGCCCATGACCAGACTGTAAGTTCTGCCATCTTTTGACTGACATTGTCAATTAGGCCTCAGTTGGTCAGAATCTCCACTGACTGGCTGCTAGAGTCCATGACAACTGAGATCTGATTCACAACGGCAGTCAGATAAAAATGATATTCACTTGATATTCCAGAGGCCCCAGAAATAAAAATTTCTCTTCGAGACAAAGAAATGCATCTTACCACATCACGGGGCAGCTCATCATCCTCGATGTCTTCCAAGATGAGGTCCTGTAGGACCTCAACAGGACCTAAGAGAACACAGAGTGACAGTCAGTGCATTGGTGCTGCTGAGGAATCTCACAAGGAGCTTTGGGAAATGTGGACCGGGCTGGAGTGCATGGAGCTGGGCGTGTGACAGGCATGGACCCAGCTGCTGCTGGACCATTCTCCTTGGTGCTGAAGGAAGGAAAAGGAGAGGGGCAGAAAGAAAGGAAAGAGCCTGGTTTCCTAGCTAGGGTAACCTCATCAATGTGAAATCGTCATTTGAAGAACCGGTTAATACAGAAAGGCAGTGTACTATAGAAACAGGAAGTAGATTAGGGCTGCCTAGAACCAGGGGTGTGGGGGGTTGGGGAATACAGAGAAGTCACTACTAAGGGGGTTTTCTGAGAGGGAACCAAGAGCTTCTAAAATTAGATTCTAACAGTGGTTGCACAACCCTGTAAATATAGTAAAAACACTGAATCACCTACTTAAATGGGTGAATTGGTTTGCATGTCAACTATGTCTCGGTAACTGTTTACAAGAAAAAGAATACGTACGGCGGTGACACCAAGCCGCAGGCTTCTCCTGCAATAACAGAAAAAGAAACACCATGAGGATTACATCATGCTGGGTCCTGTTGGCACAGGTCTTGTATTCACTTGGTGACATTAGAAAACCAGATAGCAGGCTGGACAGGGTGGCTCACACATGTAATCCCAGCATGTTGGGAGGCTGAGGCGGGCAGATCATGAGGACAAGAGATTGAGACCATCCTGGCCAACATGGTGAAACCCTGTCTCTACTAAAAACTACAAGAAAACCGGCATGGCGGTGGCGAGAACCTTCAGTCCCAGCTACTCGGGAGGCTGAGGCAGGAGAATTGCTTGAATGCAGTAGGAGGATGCTGCAGTGATCTGAGGTCACACAACTGCACTGTAGCCTGGTGACAGAGATACTCTGTCTCAAAAACAAAACTAAACAAAAAACCAGATGTCAAACAGTAATGAAGTCACAGGCCCCAAATGGAGCACAGGGGATGCTTGCAGAAAATGCAGTGGGTTTGGAATACCTAGCAAGTATCTATGCTGGCTGAAAAATATTAAATTATTTTCCAAGAAGAAAATGTGGCTACTGAGAAATATGCCCATGACCAGACTGTAAGTTATGCCATCTTTTGATGACTAGTTGCTAGAGTCCATGACAACTGAGATCTGATTCACAACGGCAGTCAGATAAAACTGATATTCACTTGATATTCCAGAGGCCCCAGAAATAAAAATTTCTCTTCGAGACAAAGAAATGCATCTTACCACATCACGGGGCAGCTCATCGTCCTCGATGTCTTCCAAGATGAGGTCCTGTAGGACCTCAACAGGACCTAAGAGAACACAGAGTGACAGTCAGTGCATTGGTGCTGCTGAGGAATCTCACAAGGAGCTTTGGGAAATGTGGACTGGGCTGGAGTGCATGGAGCTGGGCATTTGACAAGCATGGACCCAGCTGCTGCTGGACCATTTTCCCTGTGTGCTCAAGGAAGGAAAAGGAGAGGGACAGAAAGAAATGAAAGAGCCTTGGCTTCCTAGGCTCACCTCATCAATGTGAAATCGTCATTTGAAGAACCGGTTAATACAGAAAGGCAGTGTACTATAGAAACAGGAAGTAGATTAGGGCTGCCTAGAACCAGGGTTGTGGGGGGTTGGGGAAAACAGAGAAGTCACTACTAAGGGGGTTTTCTGAGAGGGAACCAAGAGCTTCTAAAATTAGATTCTAACAATGGTTGCACAACCCTGTAAATATAGTAAAAACACTGAATCACCTACTTTAAATGGGTGAATTGGTTTGCATGTCAACTATGTCTCGGTAACTGTTTAAAAGAAAAAGAATACGTACGGCGGTGACACCAAGCCGCAGGCTTCTCCTGCAATAACAGAAAAAGAAACACCATGAGGATTACATCATGCTGGGTCCTGTTGGCAAAGGTCTTGTATTCACTTGATGACATTACAAAACCAGATGGCAGGCTGGGTGCGGTGGCTCACGCATATAATCCTATCACGTTGGGAGGCTGAGGCGGGCAGATCATGAGGGCAAGAGATTGAGACCATCCTGGCCAACATGGTGAAACCCCATCTGTACTAAAAACTACAAGAAACCTGGATGCAGTGGTGGTGAGAGCCTTCAGTCCCAGCTACTCAGGAGTTGGAGGCAGGAGAATTGCTTGAATGCAGTAGGAGGACGCTGCAGTGATCTGAGATCACACCACTGCACTGTAACTGGGTGACAGAGAAAGTCTGTCTCAAAACAACAACAACAATGAGAAAAGCAGATGTAGAACAGTGATCAAGTCACTGGCCCCAGATGACGCTTAGAGGATGCTTACAGAAAATGCAGTGTGTTTAAAAAATTTAGCAGGTGTCTATGTTCTCTAGGAAATACAAAATTATTTTTTCAAGAAGAAAACGCTGCTACTGAGAAATGTGCTCACGACCTGTTTGTAGGTGATGTCCTCTTTTGATGGACATTATCCATCAGGCCTCAGTTGGTCATAATCTCCAGCGACCAGTAGCTAGAGTCTAAGACCCCCAAGGCCTAATTTATGATGGCAGTCAAAAATCATATTCACTTCATAGTCTAGAAGCCCCAGAAAAAAAAATTTCCCGACAAAGAATGTATGTTACCGTGTCAGAGGCCACCTCCTCCTCCTCACTGCCAAGTGTACACTCCTCTGGGTCATCAACAGGAGCTAGGAGAACACAGAGTGACAGTCAGTGCATTGGTGCTTCTGAGGAATCTCACAGGGAGCTTTGGGGAATGTGTGTATGGAGGGGCTGGAGTGATGGAGCTGGGTGGTTCACAAGCATGGACTGAGGTGCTGCTGGACCATTCTCCTGGTGTTGAATGAAGGAAAAGGAGAGGGACAGAAAGAAATAAAAAGCCTTGGCCTTCTAGCTAGGGCAACTTCATCAATGTGAAACAGTCGCCTTAAGAACCAGTTAATACAGAAAGGTACTGTATATAGAAACAAGAAATACATTAGGGCTGCTTAGAACCAGGGGTGCAAGGCTGGGAAAAACAGAGGAGTGTCTACTAATGAGGTTTCTTTGAGGAGGAATGAAGAGGTTTTAAAATTATATTGTAACATGTTTGCATAGCCTATAAATATAGCAAAAACACCAAATCACCCACTTTAAATGGGTGAATTGGGTTGCATGTCAACTACATCCTAATGAAGCTATGTTAAAAAAAAGAATACGTACTGTGGTGATATTCACCTGTAGCATTTTCCTGCAGTAAGAGGGAAAAAAACCATCATGAGGATCAGATCATATTGGGTCCTGACTGCACAGGTCTTTTATTCACTTGGTGGTGTTAGAAAACCAGGTATCAAACAGTAATCAAGTCACTGACCCCCAAAATAAAGCATAGAGGATGCTTGGAGAAATGGCAGTGGGTTTTTGTCTTTGGCTTTGAACAGATTCTTGCTCTGTCACCCAGGCTGGAGTGCAGTGGCATGATCTCGGCTCACTGCAACCTCAGCTTCCTGGGTTCAAGCAATTCTCCTGCCTCAGCCTTCCAACTAGCTGTGACCACAGGCGCCTGCCACCATGCCCAGCTAATGCTTGTATTTATAGTAGAGATGGGGTTTCATTACATTGGCCCTGTCTGCTTCAGCCTCCCAAAGTGCTGGGATTCCATGTGTGAGCCACCAAGGCAGTGGGTTTTCATGGAATATTTAGCAAGTCCATGTTGGCTGCCAAATACAAAATTATTTTTCAGAAAGAAAATGTTGCTACTGAGAAACATGCTCACTACTAGTTTGTCAGTGATGTCATCTTTTGACTGACATCATCAATCAGGCTTCAGTCGGTCATACATTCCAGTGACTGGTAGCTAGAGTCCATGAAAGCTGAGGCCTGATTCACAATGGCAGTCAAAAATGATACTCACTTGATATTCTAGAAGCCCCAGAAAAAGACATTTCTCTTCAAGACAAAGAAATGCATCTTACCATGTCAGGTGATGTCTCCTCCTTAACCTTTTCAGGTGTACACTCCTTTGGGTCTTGAAGAGGAGCTAAGGGAACACAGAGAGACAGTCAGTGCACTGGTGATGCTGAGGAATTCCACAAGGAGGCTTGGGGGATGTGGACCAAAGCTGCAGTGTATGGAGGTGGGCTGTTGACAAGCATGAACTGAGCAGCTGCTGGGCCACTCTCCTTGGTGCTGAAGGAAGGCAAAGGAGAGGGGAAAAAAAGAAATGAAAGAGCCTTGGCTTTCTAGCTAGGGCAACCTCATCAGTGTGAAATAGTCTGAGAACCGGTTAATACAGAAAGGCGCTGTATGGCTCAGTGAGAGCATCTCATCACACCTGCTGTCCACGTGAAGGTCTAGGCAAATCCCAACATTTTGTGAAATGTTACAGGATTATTTAGCTTCTGTGGATCTACATATCCTGCTACTACATTAATCATCTATCCTGTTGTATTTTAAAAATTTTAAAAGCTTACATATTTATTATTTTAATTATTAGGTGTGCATTTCAATGATATTATATTTAGTGAGTAACATTCATGATGCTATGTCAATGAGTAAAATCAAATCTAAATTCATAATCTAGCTTCCACCTTGGGCAATGAAAGAAAAACAGCAGTATAATGTCGAATAGAGGAAAAATAAATAACGACTGCAGAAATTAATGGAATAAAAAACAGGAAATCATCAGAGATAATATCAGTTAACACTGATAAACCTCTACCTTGTCTAACCTCAAAGGAAAAGAAGGAAGTCACAAGGTACTAATAATATCAGTTCAAGACGAGTTGAATCAAAAAAAAATAATAAAGGAATGTTGTGAACACATCTGTGCTCACACTTGGAAACATTATATGAAATGAGCTAACTTTTTGGATCTGTTTCGGAAGGTTAAAAGTCTTCTCATGATAAATGAATCATCTGAATAGGCCTATATGTATATCAGAAATTGAACCAATACTTAGTATCTTCTCAAAAGAACAAAAACACTACCTTCAGATGATTTCACCGTTAAATTCTACCAAAATTCTTACAAAGAAACGTAGTCTTACCGTACGAGCAAGTAATCATAATTTTAGTATTTCCTTACATTTTAAAAATTATGTTTCCAAACAAGACACAGAAGGTTTATAATTGCTGTATTCATAATTGCCCAAACTGAAAGCAAATGTCTAAATATTTGAGATGTCCTTTACTCTCAAAAGTGAACCAAGCCTGGGCAACACTGTGAAACCCCGTCTGTACAAAAAAAAATAAATTTTTTTAAATAGCTTGGTATAAAGCATGTGCATTACAGCCACCTGCTTGGGAGGCTGAGGTAGAAGGATCACCTGAACATAGAGAGGTCAAGATTGCAATGAGCTGTGACTGCACCAATGCACTCCTGGGTGACAAGATGAGACCTTTTCACAAAAACAAACAAAAAGAACCAACCTCTAAGTTGTTGTGTAGTTGCATCACCCATTGATTTAATGCATTTAAATGGGCACAAATGAAATAAATGAGGAACATCACATAGCATTTACTGAGTCTCTCTGGGACACTGGATGAGTAAACTGGAATTATTTGCTTCAATCAACTTAATGATATAATTTCCACCCTACCTTCATTTGCAGCGGGGCAAATTTTCTTACACCTCCATTTTTTTTGTATCCAGCTCCTGGTGCGGCCAGCCAAACCTGCAAGGTAGAAATGTATTATAATAAAGACAATGCTTGACATCTTGCTGGCAGAAGACCACAGAGAAATTAGTAAAAACTTATTCAGTTTAAACTTCTGATCCTAGTTTTCAACGACTGCTTTTCAATGCTACCTGAATTAGATCTGGGCTCTAGGAAGATTTGTTTGTCCAGGCAGATACCTTTATTCAGATGAGACAATATAGAAAAGCAGAAGATCCAAGTTACCAAGAATAGGCTGGGTTCAAATCCTACTTAGAATCTGCACATACCTGGGAGAGGGATATGAACCCATCTGTGCCTCTCTTCCCTATTCTAAGATGTAGAAACATTAGTTGATCTATGCTATAGACCTACTAAGGTCTATAGCACCTAAAAGGATGAAATGCAGATAAAGACTTAAAAAGACCCTTTTTTCTGTAAATGCCCTAAAATGTTCAATCATTCAATGTCGAGAAAGATAATCCAGATACTTGGTAGTGGTTGAATACAGAGAGGGAGCTTGCATGTCTCCTGTGCAGGGTAGGATGGAAAATGACATCACAGTTTCCATGGCCACATGATTTCCAGCTCATGACAGAGATCTGTGATTTCCCTGATCCCCACATCAGCCCCAAGGGACAGGCAGGGAAGGGGCTACAACCCATATTTTCCAATTCAGTGAATTAAGACTCAGACGTTTTGAGTGACTTGCCCAGAGTCACCACAGTGACGAGTGATAGATCTGAGGTAATAATGTAGTTGGTTCCCCGGGGATAGAGATCCTGGAACACCTGAGTCCTCTAGATCATGCCCTGGACCCCGGACTGAGAGCTCTTCTCACAAGCTTTGTCAAATCCTGCTGCCCCAACATTTCTGTGGGATGGTTGAAGCTCTGGAGAGGTGGCAGGTGGCTTACTGCATTTACTGACCTACTCTATTATCCCTATGTTGTCACTTTTATTAGCTTTATGACCCATAAGGCAAACATTTTAAGTCTTTCAGTTATGATGCATGATCAGAGGTTTTACCTGAGTCCACTCTTTCTACACATCAGGTGATTCTCATCTGCTGGGCTGGAGCTGGCCTGACATAAAAGAGGACACATGGCAAACTATGGAGCTGCTGCGTGCCACACTCCTGTGCACGTGGCATACCACGGAGCTGCTGTGTACCCCACTCCTGGGCACATTCTTGCCTTGCTTCTGCTTTCCCAGCTCTGACAATCCTAATTCTGGCTTCCAAAGCAATCCTGTACATCCCTCTCAGTTCTCAGACTTGCCTCAACTGTTGGATATTTTAATCACTGTTGTAGTGACCATGACTGAACTGTGACATTCCATATACCATAGTATATGTTTATCTTTTTATATATGCCTTAATAAAAGTTAACTTACTTTTTTCAGACTTTTAGGAACATTTCTGGGCTAGGTGTGCTGGCCCATGGCTAGCACACCTAGGCAACACAGTGAGACCTCATCTCTACAAAAAATCTTCTAAATGTCACTAGATGTGGTGAGCCCTTGTATCCCTAGCTACATGGAAGCCGGTTGTGGGAAGATCATTTGAGCCTAGAAGATTGAGGCTGCAGTGAGCTATGACCCTGTCTCTTCAAAATAAAAAGCATTACTGTGTTACAAGTATCCCATTTTATTTCTCATTATCTAATATTGCTGTTTTCATCCTGAGGCTTAATTGCTTTAGTAAGCTAAAAGAAAGTATTTTAGACAAGGTAGTATTTAAAGCAGGCCATATGCACGCCTTTTTATAAATTCTAGTTTTATATGCCATATATCTAGAATTTACATTCTTGATCTACTCAGTCTTCTTCTTAGAACCAGCCTCCTCATATGTAACACAAGTATAATTCCCATATTACACCTAACTCAAAACACTGAGAGGATAGAATAAAATCAAAGAGCAGTCTGTATACTACACAAGGTACAATAGATTACAAACCAAAGCTTTCTCTAACTCAAAGGCGAAAAGTGCACACTTAACATCCTTTGCAGAACCCATAGCAAAATAATATTTTGAGAAAATATGCACTTTGACTACTCAGTGAAGTTAGGAGAAAACTGTCACAGGTCATCATCAAGACTTCCCCAATGTTGTCTTTTATTTTTAAATAATGAAATACACATGATTTCTTCTCCTTTCTTTCATGTATATTACTGCACGTACTCCTTTTGGCTTTTCTGCATACCCTATCTTGGGAATCACTCCATAGCAATAAAAAGACATCTTACTCTTTTTCACAGCTTCATACTTCTCCTTTATGTACAAGTACCAGCTTATTTTACTAGTCCCTTACTAGGCATGTCAGTTATTTCCAATATTTAACTATTGAAAATAATGCAACGAGAACTTTGCACATAGTTTGTTTTATATTTATGGAGCATACCTTCAGGATAAAATTCCTCAAAGTAGAATGTCTGGTTCAAATGCATTTTCACGGTTGTGAGATGGTGCCAAATTCCCCTTCATGGAGTTGAGCCTTTTTGCATTTCCACCAGCAATATATGAATACAACTTTCCTTACAGCCACACCAAAGAACATTTTGCCATGGTTTTGGGATTTCCCTCAATAGGAGAGACCCTGCAGTAGAGCTGTCATTTGCCTTTCTTTTATGAGTGAAGATGTGTTTAAAAATAACCTGCATTTCTTTTTCTGTGATTTGTCTATTTACCACTTTATGATCTACTTTTAGTTTCACTTGATTTTTCTCAAGTCCGCCTCTTTCAGGTCATTGTTGTTTTTCTCTTCACTGTCGGCTCTCACCTGAACTACTCCACCAATCTCCTAGCTGCTCTTCCTGCTTCCACCCTTGCCTGTATTACAGCATATTCACAGAGCTGCTGCTCAGTCTTTTTCTTAGAGAATTAACAGTAACCCTGGGCTATAATCCTCCAGTGGTTTTCCATCTCAACTGAAGTTCATCTTCTCTGTAAGTGCTCACTGTGTGTACAAGGCCTTCACCCACCTTATTCATCCAAGCATCCTTTTACTCTGCTGCAGCTGCCCTTGTGGCTTTCTGTCCTTTGCCTAAAACTTCGTTTCAATTTCAGAAATTCCAAAGTGGAAATCCCTCTCTGGAAGCCCTCTCCCACCATCCTCACAGGGTTCCCCTCACTTTTTTATTTTTAAAAATAAATAAGATGGGGTGTCTCTGTGTTGGCCAGGCTGGTCTTAAACTTCCATCCTCAAGGAATCCCCTCATCCTGGCTTTCCAAAGTGCTGGGATTAAAGGTGGGAGCCACTATACCCAGCCCATTTCACTTTTAAGACTGTTCACATGTCACTTAAAGAGAGCATCCAGCTCTTAACACCAACCCTCCATAAAACTGCCCTCCTCTTTAATCCATTACCCTACTTTACTTTCTTCCCAGCATGTCACCACCTGCCATTCTTGACTATTCATGTGCTGGCTGCCCTTACTTCCCTATCGAATGTAAGGGTCAGACTTAGAATGGGGCTCTCTGCTGTGTTCCACTGTTGGCCCTGCATCTGCAACACTGCCAGGACATCTGAAACTGCTCGATACATATATTTCATTTTACCCCAAACTAGTTAAGTTTCTCCCAATTCTCCCAGATCTGCTAAAGTTGTCTTTTGTTTTATCATCTAAGACAGCATCGGATTTCTTAAACTGGTAGCTATTTAGAATTAAAGACACAAGCTATCAAGATCCACAAAAATATAAATGAAGAATGTTAATGTCTAAAAGTCAATGGTAACTGCAGTTTGACACAAGTATATTTAAAACTAAAATACCTTAAATACAAAGTGACTCATTTCATCAGTTTAATTATGTCACTAGACAAAACATATTATCTGAATTTTATAACAAGATATCACGCACCTGTCATCAAAATGTGCTTTGTGTGTGTTCTGAATCAAACATGACAGGACTGTTTCTGACTTTACGAAAAAAGACGGCCAATCGCAAAGGGCAGGTAAATAAATAGTGCTTTAACCAGTCCGTAGTACACTAAGCAGTTATTCAAAGTCATCAGGTAGAGCAGGGTGCCCTGGCAGGCAAAGACATCCTGGAGTGCTCTCTAGGTGTCAAGTACTGTTTGAGAAACTTACGCCATTATCTCACCGCTTTAAGTAAAAGTTACAAGGCAGCACATATAAAATAATCAGAAAGTTTTCTTTTACAAAAAATTAGTGAAATAAAATATTATATTCAAATGCATAGCAATAATTTCCAGAATAACAGTGCTCAAACTGTAACACAAGTGATCTATGGGTGTTCTGAGTGTAATAAGTAACTTTTATTTTCTACATCTTTTACATGAAACATACTGATAGTTATTTTAAAAGGAGGGTTCAAAATAGGTACTAGAAAGCTGAAAGACCTGCTGCTCAGAGGTCTCTACATCATAAGCCCATGCTTTCCCTTCCCTGACCCCTCACTTCAGAGAGCCAACAAACTAGCAGCGTTCCTATGGTAAGAACACAAAAGGCTGCATGAAAAGTCGATGGGTAGTGTTAAAATTGGATAATGAGCTCCTACTATCTTAATCTGTTCCTTATAGTACCCCCAGTCATATTAGATATACTGCTAAATAAAGGCATGATAGGACAAAATATGCTTGAGTCTGAGATCTAAACTGGGTTCTTAGAGCTTCTCTTTGAAATGGCTTCAAAACACAACGTTCTTTGGAAATATTTCAGAAGAGAACAATGAAGCAGAGCATAATTTATGGCATAAGTTCCTGAAACAGGACTTGCCACCTAGAGAGCACTCCAGGATGTCTTTCCACAGCAGTGCGCCCTGCTCTGCCTGATGCCTTTAAATGACTGCTTAGTGTGCCACAGAATGGTTGGAGCACTGGTTGCGGTGATATTTGTCTAAGTTACCAAAAGAATTCAATTCGTCATTATAGAAAGGCTAAAATGTTTCACATCTAAGTAGGAATTTATTATTTTCAAAAAAGAGTGATACACAATTTTCTGAAATAAAGATATTAACAACAAACTCTGAATGTGTCTATACTTTATATTGAGTGCTCTGAACATGTTTATTTCTTGTTTTTTTGTTTTTGTTTTTGTTTTTTTTAAGGTGTGAGGAAAGACAAAGCGGCAAGGGCAGTCAAAGGCAGAGTTTTTTTTTGTTTTATTTGCCCAGCCAGGCTGGAGTGTACTGGGGCGATCTCGGCTCACTGCAACCTGCAACTCCTAGATTCAAGTGATTCTCCTGCCTCAGCCTCCCAGGTAGCTGGGATTACAGGTATGTGCCACCACACCTGGCTAATTTTTAGTAGAGAAGGGGTTTCATCATTTTGGCCAGGCTGGTCCCAAACTCCTGACCTCAGGTAATCTGCCCACCTCAGCCTCCCAAAATGCTGGGATTACAGGCATGAGCCACCGTGCCTGGCCAAAGAATGAACACTGAAATTGAGGTTTCTGTTGTCCCTTTACTGAATACCACAAAAATACGTTTGAAGAGACATATAGAAACTTACTGTCATGCACATACACATAAGATGGTAAATTCTGTGCTCACAAACTATTTTTTCTTCAACTGCTCTGACTTAACACTTCTTACTCACAGCCTGTGCTTTAATGTGAGGGGCCTTGCCGCCCTCCTGCCAGCTTCTCCTTTCTCCTGACCAGGGCATTCTCAGCTTCAAATCAGTTAGCAGATGAAACTCTTCCACATTTATTAAACTTGATTTGACTGGTAAATGTAGGCCATTTTGTCACCCCTACTTTTGTCCTTATCCATTTTAATAAATGTACGGACAGAAGGTAGAGCCAGGAGAGATGGCACATGCCTGTATTGTCAGCTTTCCTACAGGCTGAGGCAGCAGGAGTGCTTGAGCCCAGGCCAGGGTCAGAAGCCTGGGCTCTGTGCCCACAGTGAGGACCCATCTCTTTAGGAGGAAAAACGGAGAGGTAAATGTGTAAAATAAGATGCAAAAGGAACTAATCAAGATGAAAGTAAGTTCTAAGAGAGGTCTATGTTATGGGTAGACCTTAAAATATAAGACATTCTGGAGTCTGTCAAGTTCTTTAAGAACTGAGTTTGGCATCACTACGACCTCCAATGTGTACTTTGATGACTTAGAACCTCAGTCCTGTTCAGCAGCCGTCTCACACAGTCCCTTCAGATCTCTAAGCCTTCCCTTCTGCATCAGCAACATAGCTAGAATATACACAGGCCTTATTTGTATTTGGAAGCTTCCAGTAAGATGTACATGAAAACATGTTTTACATCCTAAAGAATAAGGAAAAGGCTCACTTTGTTCTCTCACTACCTCATCTGCCAAATCAGACAGAATATCACACAGAGGCTTGCCATACACCACCAAGCAAGGAGTTTCCACAGGTACTTGCATGCTTTGGGTATAAGGTACAATCTAATTATTTGTTTATTCTTTCACAACTTTTCAATATTCTGAAAAGGGAGTACAGCACTTCCTTGTTACAAAGGCACACCCATCATGAGGCTTAATTATTCTGTGAAAGAAGGTAAGAGCCAAACTGAAGGTTAAACACAAGACCTGTAAGACATTTTCTCCATACTAATAAAATCTCTGCCATTAAAATGAAAGAAATGAGCTGATCATATTTCTATGTCTTTATGATATAATGTTTTCTATTTCACTGGACTTAGTTTTTGTTCAAGGAACTGGTAACCCAGAATTATCTGTTGCTAGATTCATCTATTTCTATAATTCTAAAGGATTTTAAACTGAAGGCTGCTGGCCCTGGCTGATGCCTGTCACCCAAAAAGCCTATGTCACCTGGTCAGCAGGAAACAACCAAGTCAGGCTACTGGCTCACAATGCCCTGTCCCAGAGCCCCACCCAATGGCTCACAATGCCCTGCCCCACAGCCCCACCCAATGGCTCACAATGCCCATCCCTGCTGCTGCCCACCTATGGTCACCATTCCCCCCATGTGACTGCATTATTCATCCTGGGCTGCCTGAGCTTTCCAATCATAAGAAAAGTGTGTGGAGGGAAGAATGGTTGTTATTGGAAGTCACCCTGGTCGCTGAACTCAGTAGAAAACCCTGGTTACTAATGTCAATTCCATTAGCATCTCTGGTTTCCTGAGTCTGGTAGCTTTCATTTGCTCAACAAATGTAGTGATACACAAATGTTTGACTGATTTTGTAACTAAATGCTTCTCTCCTGTCTTACAAGTGTTAGTTTTTGTCTTCAATTTGACCATAGCAAAAAAATGCAATACTTCCTCTTTCCTCCCCTTTCCCATCCTGTAGGAAGCGGAGCCCTGAAAACAAACTCTTTTCCACAGGCAGGCTCTGGCCTTCTAACTCTCAAGACTTTACCTTACAAATTCAAGTCTAAAGTCATTTCATCTCTTTTGGAACCTGTAACCATGAGCTAGCTCTACCTGTCTTTCAGAACAAGGAGGTAAACAAAGCCTGTGAAGTTACTGGAGAAGGGCTGAAGAGACATTCATGTCAAAGTGGGAATTTTAAAGTAATCAGAGCTCCTCGGCTAAACTTTTGGATAAAACCAAAACACAAACAATTTTTTAACAGCTCTGGCAGTAACATTTCATATCTTTTGCAGTCATTTTAAGCATGTCCCTCAATTTTTCCTTCAGTTTTCAAATTACAATTGGAAGAAGTAAAGCTGCTTCTGTCAAGGTGACTTCAAACCATCTATTAAGAACACCATATAATCTCTTCCATGGCAAACTCTATTTTAAATTTAAGAAGTCTCCAAATATTTGAGTCTGAATTATCCCAATTATTAGCTTCCTTATCGAATAGGAGAAAAGAGATGATTGGGCCTTTACCCAGCTCCTTCACTGAGGTATCATAGTAGCTGGATAGGTAAGGCTAGAGAATGCGATGGAGACTCCAAAACTGGAGGATCTGAATTTTCATCGGGGAAAGAAAGAGACTGGACCAAAAATGCCTCAAGCAATAAGGCTCAACAACAAAGACAAGAAGCAGGACTAGCCTTTGTCCCCCATGCCCAGCCCTGGAAAAGCTGGCTATAGCCAGGAAGGAACTGGAAGCTGAGGATGTCTCTGGGGTGAGGAGATGGGAAGGAGGTGGGGGAGGTGGTGGCCAGAGAGCAAATGGCACCTGTGGCTTCTTTACCTTTGCGCCGCTTTGACTTGATGGGCTGCACATGCTGAACCTCCACCATTCCAGGATGTAACACGGCAGCCTCTGCAGTGGTGGATTCTGGTGCTGCAGCTGCCACAGACTGAGTCTCACATTCACAAAACGGCACCACTGCCCGCTGGCACCAGGCACAACTGAGGCCAGCCCTGCGGCCTAGGCAATTCCCCATGGGTGACCTACAAGGGGACTTTCAAAACAAAGCAATGCACAAAATCAGAAAAAAGAACAATGAGAACACATGGACACAGGTAGGGGAGCACTACACACTGGGGTCTGTTGTGGGAAAATAGGGGAGGGAAAGTGGGGGGGGGTGGGGAGTTGGGGAGAGATAGCATGGGGAAAAATGCCAGATATTGGTGATGGGGAGGAAGGCAGTAAATCACACTGCCACGTGTGTACCTATGCAACAATCTTGAATGTTCTTCACACGTACCCCCAAATCTAAAATGCAACTAAAAAAAAGAAAAAAACAAAACAAAGCAACACACACACACACAAAAAAAAACAAAGCAACGCACAAAATAAAAAAGAAAAAGCAAAGCAACAGAGCAAGTGCCAAGGGCACAAACACTTCCGTGAGAGTAGTCGGAGCTCCTCCTCCTCCCACTACCAGCTTCCGACTGAAGGCTGCTGGCCCTGGCTGATGCCTGTTATGACAAAGCCTCCTATGTCACCTGGTTACCAGGAAACAACAAAGTCAGGCCAGTGGCTCATAATGCCACTTCTCATAACCCCATCCAATGGCTCACAATGCCCATCCCTGCTGCTGGCCACCTGCAGCCACCCTGCCCCTCTTGGTGACTGCGAAATTCATCCAGAGCTGCCTGAGATATTCCATTTTTCACTATAGGCCTCAAAAAATACAGAAATGTCCCTTCATAGATTCTATATAGAGAGTGTGTCTAACTTGTGAATAAAAACAAAGGTTTCATTCTGCGCAATAAAGCCACAAACACAAAGCATTTTCACAGAATCCTTTGGGGCCCACCTCTCATCTTCAGCTTCCTGTTCTTAGTTATTTGGGCTTCCGTCTTGTATACTCTGTCAGGTTCTAGGCCTCGTAGGGGTGAGTTCCATGTCTCCACTCATTTATATGGGCTCAGGATGGTTGGCTTTTGGGAGGGTCTTCATGGTGACTGAGGCCATGGATCCTTTGCACTGTTCCTGGAATCCACTTGACACGAAATACTTATCCTGAAATGATGCTTTGAAAGTGATGCTTTCAATCAATTAGTGGTCCACTGTATTATGGATCCCTAGTACCCAATACATGGCATATAAGAAATGAATAAAAAATGAGTGAATGAACTCAAGTGTGCCTACAAGGTGAGAGAAAAGTGGTCCTACTTACTAGGTGTGATACAAAGGCATCTGGGACCATTGGCTTTGCTATTTGATAGTAGGCCTGGGGTTTTGAAGGCTGGTATTTCCTTATTCTAAACCTCAAATTCCAATAAATTGCTACCCTGTGGACAAAGGTCCATGGGCCAGAGCTCTTGGTGTGAACAACATACCTTTTTTGGGTGTGATTAATGGACAGGGACTATACAAAACTAAAAACAATGTTTGTGTGCTGACTACCTGCAAGCCATGGTGATAAAACACTCTGTATACAGGATCTTATTCAATGCTTGTTACAAATCCATGAAGTGGATTTTTACACAAAATTTCTATTCTAGAGCTTTTTGGAACAAGAGGCTAGTGTGGTGAGCTTTCACCTACTCAGCAGCAGATTCAGATATTTGTTATCTGATGGCCAATCTCATTACATGTATACTCCCCTACATGCTTCTCCTCTTCCTCTCATGATTTTATAGCAAATCCCACACATCATATAATTTCCTCCCCAACTGTCTTGGTATATGTCTGTAAAAGATACAATTCTTGTTTGTTCTTTCAAGACAAGGTCTCTGTCAACCAGGCTGGAGTTCAGTGGCATGATCTTGATTCACTGTGGCCTCTCCTGCCTCAGCTTCCTGAGTAGCTGCAACTACAGACTCACACCACCATGCCAATCTAATTCATTTATTTGTATTTTAGTAGTGACAGGGTCTTGCTATGTTGCCCGGGCTGGTCTAGAATTCCTGGATTCAAAGGATCTTCCCGCCTTGACCTCCCACACTACTGAGATCATAGGTGTGAACCACCATGCCTGGAGACAAGAACTCTTTAAAAAATATAATAATCCCAATACCATCATCAACCAACCATCTTACACCATTGCTCTTTATCACTGTCAATTCCCCTTCTAGCTCCAAATTTCCAGCCATTTCATGTATTTATTGTTTGAATCAGGATCCAAATAAAGTCTCTCTTTGGGATTGTTTGATTTACCTCTTACAATTTTTTTGATCCTGACAGCTTCCCACTTTGATCTCTGTGCTGTCCCTTGCAGTTTATTTATTGAATAAATCAGGCCATGTCCCCATACTTTGGATTAAGCTAAGTGTATTCTTATTATGCTGTTTCTCATACTGTGAATTTTGCTAATTCTATCTTGTGATGTTGGTTAACTTGCTCTTCACTTTGTTCTAGTTTTGACAAATTAGTAGTTTGATCTCAAGACTTGGTGAGATTCAGCTTGGACTTGAGGGTCAGGGCAAAGACTGTGCTAGTTTCTTCTGGGAGGAGGTGTGTATTTTCTGGGCATCTTTTTTTTAATTGGTGATGTTAATGGCCATTGATCAATTATGTATTGAACAATGAAGGTATTGTTGCATCATTCCTTCTTCGTGTATGAGCTGCCATACTTCCAGAAAGAGATACTGCTGCCTGAAGAAGGGCCTTCCTTGCATGAAGAAAAAAATGAAGCAAATATAAAAAAGAGATGCTGCTTCTTATAAACTGTGTTACTCACTTGCACAACTTATATAGAAAATGCCAGTTCATGGCTTGATTTCCTCCGTTTACCATTTTTCAAAATGATGGGCTCTTTCATTTATATCCTTCAATGGTGATCACTTCTATTTATTAATTTATTTAGACAGGGAGGGCCTAGCTCTGTTGCCCAGGCTGGTATGCAGAGAAGCACTCATGCCACTACAGCCTCAAACTTCTAGGCTCAGGTGACCCTCCCATCTCAGCTTCCTAAGTAGCTGAAACCAAAGACACAGGCCCGCATACCTGAGTAATTTAAAAATGTTTTGTAGAGACAAAGTCCCCCTATGTTGCACAGGCTGGTCTTGAACTCCTGGATGAAGTGATCCTCCTAACTCAGCCTCCCAGAGTGTTGAAATTACAGGCATGAGGAACTGTGTCAGCCCACTTTTATTTTTTCAAAAGGATCATTATGAATGCAGATATTCAAACATATCTGATATATCTCCATTCACTGCAACTATTATCCTTATTAATGTACAAAATGTCCTATCTTTGGTTAGAAGGAGTCCCTTCAGATTGGCCCTTCAGACATGTTGAAATCATCCTAATAATCTTTGATGGATTCTTTGCTATCCAGAGTGACAATATGTTCCAGGCTTCTTACACATTTCTGGCCTAGACCTGGAATCAGCACTTTCCCAGGAAGGCTTGTTTTCTTTCACTGGGCAATGGTATTTTGAGACTACAATCTTGGTGCTAGGGGTAAATAGTATAATTTTAAAACTTAGAAAACCGCCTGACTCATGCCTGTAATCCTAGCACTTTGGGAGGCCAAGACAGGTGGATCACCTCAGGTCACGACTTTATGACCATCCTGGCCAACATGGAGAAACCCAGTCTCTACTAAAAATACAAAAATATTAGCCAGGCATGGTGGCACGCTCCTGGGGTCCCAGCTACAAGGGAGGCTGAGGTGAAAGAATTGCTTAAACTAAAGAGGGGGAGGTTACAGTGGGCCAAGACTGTGCCACTGCACTCAAGCCTGGTGAGAGAGCAAGAATCCATCTAAAATCAATGAATCAATCAATCGATCAATCAATCAATCAAGAAACACAAGCCAGCCTTTAAATCATTATTTAGTTAAGAAAATGATAAATGCAAGCCTGCACACAAATACATAAGTAGATAATTAAATGTCAGCCTGTGTCTAAATGAATAAATAAGTAAATGTAAGCCTGCCTCTAAATAAATAGATTGGTAGATAAATACATAAATCCAAGGTTGCCTCAAAATATATAATTAAATGCAACCTGCTTTTCCATTTCCATCAGTAAATAAATAAATAAATGCAAGTTTGCCTCTAAATACATCAATTAATAGATACATAAATAAATCAATAAATAAATAACCTTACTTAGTGGCTCATGCTTTTAATCCCCTACCCATTTGAAGCCTGAGCCCAGTATATCACCCGAGATCAGGACATCGAGACCAGCCGGGCCAAGATGGTGAAAGGAACCCTGTCTCTATTTAAAAAAATAATAAGATGAAAATAATTAAATAAATATAGATTTTAAAAAGTAAATAAATGCAGGATGGTCTGCTTGCTACTAAGTAAATAAATAAGTAGTTAAGCAAATAAATAAACAAAGGCTGGGGGCGGTGGCTAAAGCCCGCAATCCCAGCGCTTTGGGAGGCCAGGACCAGCGGATCACGAGGTCAAGAGATCAAGACCATCCTGGCCGACATGGTGAAACCCCGTCTCCACTAAAAATACAAAAATATTAGCGAGGCTCAGTGGCACTCACCTGTGGTCCCAGATCCTCTGGAGGCATAGGAGGAAGAATCGCTTGAATCCAGGAAGCGGAGGTTGCAGGAAGCCAAGAATGGTCCAGTGCACTCCAGCCTGGTGACAGAGCTAGACTCCCTCTAAAATGAATAAGCAAATAAATAAATAAATGCAAGACTGCCTCTAAATCATTATACAGATAGTTAAGAAAATGGATAAATGCAAGCCTGCACACAAATACATAAGTATAAAAAAGATGCTGTGAGCTTGGGTCTCAATAAAACAAATGAGTAAATGTGAGCCTGCCTCTAAATAATTAGATAGCTAGCTAAATACATAAATAGAAGTCTGTCTCCAAATAAATACATAAAGTAAATTTGACCTGCTTCTCCAAAAGTACATCAGCAAATAAACAAATAAATGCAAGTCTGTCTCTAAATAAATCAATAAATAAGCAGCCCCACTTGGTGGCTCATGTTTTTAATCACCCACCCATTGGGAGCCTGAGCTGGCCATATCACCTGAGATCAGGACATCGAGACCAGCCTGGCCAAGATGGTGAAAGAATCCCTCTCTCTATTTAAAAAAATAATAAGATGAAAATAATTAAATGAATAAGTAAAAATATAAATATAAAAATGTCATCCAGGCTTCCTGCCTCTAAGTAAATAAATCGGTAATTATGTAAATAAATAATAAATAAATAAATAAATAAATAAATAAAGGCCGGGTGACATGGCTCAGTTCAGTAATCCTAGCACTTTGGAAGGCCGAGACACTTGGAACATGAGGTCAAGAGATCAAGACCATCCTGGCCAACATGGAGAAACCCAGTCTCTACTAAAAATAGAAAAATATTAGCCAGGTGTGGTGGCACGCTGCTGGGGTCCCAGCTACAAGGGAGGCTGAGATGGAAGTATCACTTGAACCAAAGAGGGGGAGGTTGCAGTGGGTCAAGACTGTGCCACTGCACTCCTGCCTGGTGAGAGAGCTAGAATTCATCTAAAATCAATGAATCAATGATTCAATCAATCAATCAAGAAACGCAAGTCAGCCTCTAAATCATTACATAGTTAAGCTAAGAAAATGAATAAATGTGAACCTGCACACAAACACATAAGTAGATAATTAAATGTCAGCCTGTGTCTAAATGAATAAATAAGTAAATGTAAGCCTGCCTCTAAATAGGTAGGTAGATACATAAATACGTAAATCCAAGCCTGCCTCAAAATATATAATTAAATGTGACCTGCTTCTCCATAAGTATGTCAGTAAATAAATACAAGTTTCCCTCTAAATAAACCGATTAATAGATAGATAAATAAATCAATAAATAAATAGCCCCGCT